TATACACATAATGAAGATAAAAATTGATGTGAAGATTAACACTAGCGCGCACGTGTTCTTCAATAATAATAATTCATTTGCTATATTGAATGAATCGTCTCGAATATATAACCTTGATAGTGTCCCGAACTATATATGTATATATATATATTTGTATCAGTGTGGAGAAAAAATCGTGTTTATTAAAGAAGCCCCGCTATTTTATTGGCGGTCGGCGACCGCTCGAATTTATCCGGCAGTAGCACGCGTCAGTCTCTCCTTCTCAATTCATGCGAATCATCATCATCATTATCATCATTGTCAAAGTCCAGGTCGTTTACGGAATTAAAAAGGTCACCGTGCTCGATTACAATATTGAGTCGATAATTTATTTCTGGGATGGAGGATGAGGCGCCCTCATTGGTTTATATACTCTAGTGTCTATAACACTTGTTATATATATATATATCGCGAGAGAAAAAAAAGAGATATATGTATATATATGAGGATGTGACGTAGTGGCTAGTTTCGTGTTAATTTGCAGTCATTGCGTCAACCGCCTTTTATTAAACACACAATTTGCAAATCTTTTTATATATGTATATATATAAATTGTCCCAGGACTCGAAACGACCTGATTTTCATATTTCATTTGCATCAATTTTTTAAAGTCATTTATATTGACTCGATTAACAAAATCACTATTGGAAAATTTATGATATAATAACATTATAGTGAGAGTCATAAGATGCAATATATTAGATTGAAATTAATATTTTTTTTTTTTTTTTGTAAATTGTTTGGAAGGTTAACCCATAGGTGAAACGATTCTACTGAAACTACTCCACGGAAATTCCACACGAAATTCCGTAAAAAATTATATACGGAATTCCGCAAAATTTTTAAATGAAGTTCTTTTGTAATTTTGCGAATTTTTTTATAAGAATTACACACATAGTCTTTATACAGAATTGCACAAAATTTTTGTTAGAATTTTACTACACTGAAAAAAATTTAGCCGAAATCCTCAACTACCTTTAGTTAACTGACTTGAAAGTAGTAAAAGTAACTACTTTTTTGGTTATTTTAACTATGTGCGTGTAGTCAATTTAACTATTTTTTATGGAGTTAAGAATTAGTAGTTAATTGTACTTAACAAAAGTAGTTAAATCAACTTCAAAAATTAGAACAATTACAAAATCTCCTTGACCCAACTAAATTCTTAGTTCTTTCAACTACTTTTTAATAGTCCATACAACATTTTAAATTCGCAGTTAAGGATTTATTGAAAATTTTGTGCAATTCTGTATGGAATTCTTCCAAAAAAAATTAGCAAAATTACGAAAGGAATACTTTCAAAATTTTGCGAAATTCCGTATAGAACTTTTGCGGAATTCCGTACGGTTTCACCTGGGTTTAGTTTTTTAAAACAGTTCGCAGTCATTGATTTTTTTTTTGTCAGATAGTTTTGGGTTTGTTTTTAGGGTTTCGTGGACCAGGCCCGAAAGCCTATAGTTATAGCTGCGCTTTGTACACTCGTACGGTTGACATAGGAACCGTTTCCATGACAACCGTTACCATAGTAACCGCTTTTTTTTCTCTTAGAAACCGTTGTTAAGGATTTTTTTTTTCCTTCATATTACATAGAAAAAATCTGGTCTCAAAATGAGTAGCGTACGCTACTCAAAAAGTTGGTGGCGCCACTGTCTATGTCGTTTAGCATTGGCTCATTTTGAGTTGCAACAAAATGTGTTTTCTGCGATAATATTAGCCACAAAACATTGCCACTCATATTTTTTTTAAATTGTTGAAAGGGATTAATTTTTTTTTGTATAAAATATTTACAAGCTTGGTTTTTTTTTGAAAAATGATTTTTTTTTTTCTGTAAAATAGTTCTCGATGTCAGGCAGCATTATGATATTGATATATTAATAATGTCAGTATTTGTTAACTGATATGTCGACATTTAATAAGAGACAACTTCCGTTAGTTACATATATGAACGTTATAGCGATACTGCTTGTAAAAAGCATCGACGATTATATGATCAGCCCCAAGTTAGCTTTGATTATATATCAGATTTATTTCCATACAGGGTAAAATCAATTAAGACCAAGAAGTTTTTTAAAAAAAAGTTATTTTTTTTAAATATTATTTTTTTTAAAAAAAAAACTTTCTTTTTTTTGCATCTTTTGTGAACATTTTTTATGAAAAAGTATATAATCAAAACATGTATATATATATAAAACCGCAAATGAGAACTGAATGTTTTTTTTCATTTTCTTTTATATCAACCTTTGGAATATTACAGAATATATATAATAGGGGAAATGAGTTCATTGGACCAGCGTTATCATTAATAAATGTATAAGAAAATGAAATTACTTTTTTTTTAATCATTCACGCATCGAATTTTTCTTTGAAAATTATTATTTATTCGAAAATAATTTCATTTTAATTTTTTTTTATTATTATTATTATTTTTTACTATCACGATCAATAAAATTAATGTTTACTTGTCATATAAAAAATATATAGATAATAATACAAAATATATTCAAGTCACTATTCGTTTGACCCAATTATTTTAAATGTCAATGAAGATCATGAGTTTAAAGTTTGTTTTATGCAATTGAAATAAAGAGGAAGAACAAATAAAAATTTTCTCAGAAAAAAAGTAATCTTTTTTTTTTTTTTTTTCTTAAGAAATAGAGAAAAACAATATGTTTTTTGTATGCACAACAATAGAGTGTTGTTTAGTATCTGTTAATATTAATAGTATATATGTTAAATTACTAATTGTTCTTGAAATAACAAAATTATTTTCAACTGAGGATATTATTGTATATTTAATATACATAGAAAACATCTTGCAAAATTATTTTATTTTTGTGTTTGACATTACTATTTTTTTTTTAATTTTCTTTACTGAATTTTAATTTTATATATTTTTAGATTTTTTTAAACTTTCCAAAAGTATTATTTGTTTAATAATTATTAAAATAATTTTACTATTAGGGCCAGTTACACTAAAAATACCGCATGTATATATATACGACAAAAGAGTGATCTCGATTACATTTCAAGGTCTTGATCGTGGTCCCCTTGTTTTTTTTTTTTTTTTTTAAAAAATCCTTTAATGTTATTCCCCCCTTAGCTTGCCTCATCCATAAAACCCCCTTTCTGTTTTTTCTCTATACATCTTTTCTTGCCCTTGGTATAGTTTACCAGTTATCATATGTTCATATACACACGCGACGCGGGATCGAAACTGGTTATGTCTACACCTATACTAGGTTACTCCAAAAATAATCTCGGAAACTCTTTTTTTTTTTCTTTTCTCTCTATAAATGTTTCTAAAACATTTGTGTTTTGAAAAAAAAGGAAAACTATATTTACAAAAAGTAAATCATTTTTACAAATTGTTTTTTTTAAATGCTTTTAAATTTTTGTTTCGACTTTATTTTATTTTATTTTTTGATTGCGGAAATGGAATAGTTTGGCGCAGAATACAAAATATAATTTTTGAGAAAGACAGTTTTACGAATGGTGTCTGTAGAAGTGAAGAGGGGAAAGAGAGAAAGAGAGAGAGAGAGAGAGAGAGAGAGAGAGAGAGAGAGAGAGAGAGAGAGAGAGAGAGAGAGAGAGAGAGAGTGGTACCGGTCAAATATAATTTTTGGCAAGCGAGAAACGTATAATCATCTCCGGTTCACCATCGAAAGTCTCTTTCTGCATGTTGCTTGAGAGGACGCGCACGTTTCGAAAATAGATGCCAGATCGACCTACTGGAACCACATCAAGAGTTTAAATCGAAACGAGAATAATTATTGCGAGAACAGACGGTTTTCTAAGATTAGACGAACCGTGTGTTGTCAAAATGTCAAAGTTATTTATTATTTCCCCCCCCCCCCCCCGCCCTCCTCACATAGACAAGCTACATTAATTAATAATTGGTCTTCCGCTTTGGGGGCCAAAGCAATTTTCTTTTTTTTTGTTAGAAATATTTCACGTTTCATAGAAGTTTAAAATACAATAGTTTCATAAGAAATTCGAAATTTTTTAATTATATAGGCGTTAAGTTTTTAGATTATATGGAACAAACAGAATTGTTTGATGAACAAAGAAAATTGTTATGGAACAGTTGAAATAACAAAACTAAATTTTTAAATCAGCAATTAAATACAATTTGTTGTATTAATAAAGCTTTGATCCGTCTAATACAATTTGTTAAGTTTCTTTGCCTTCTAAAATAATCGATATAGCAGATTTCCCTAGGTCATATCACATTTGCATTAAAATCTGTGGAACATGCAGGTTCCACAGATGTGAGGTTATGTTCAATAGTAACCAAGTATAACTTATCGATAAACAATGAAATTGTTTCTTCATCCATTCACTACACTTGCAATAAATTTCTCACTTTAACCGGATTCATTATTTAACAGCACTTTGTCATTTTAAAAAAAAAAACTAATAATAAAAGCAAAAGTGTCACATGTGCCAGAAGCAAACGACATTTTGAATTGTAATATCAACAAATCTAATGACAACAATCCAAAAATTTGTTTGCACAACAATCCCATTTTGCTCCGTGTGATACACGGAAAAAAATTGTTCATGAAACTTTCGTAAACTAGTTGTTTACTTTTGGACATGCCCAAAGTTTGGAAATCTTTCATTAACATTTTCCAAGATTTCACGAACTTTTTTTTGTGCGCGTGCGCAGACATTGATTGTTATGAAGATAATGATGAACGTTCGTGAAATTTTGGAAAAAGTTAATGAAAGATTTCCAAACTTTATGGAACCGTTCAAAAGTGAAAAACTAGTTTACGAAAATTTCGCGAACTATTTTTTTCCGTGTATCGAATTCGATTTTCGAAAAATTCAAAAAAGAAATTATAAAGTTATTCGACTAAAGAACTATCTTGTTAGCTATTCCATTATGTCTTTTTTTTGTAAATTTAACTTTAGAAAAAAAAATTAGAAGTTATCTTTTGTTAGCTGTTTTTTTTACTCACGTTTAAACACAATATGTATTCCTCTAAATTGACCATAGACATTGAATCCTAGATGCGACTGTCGTGATTCGTTTCTTTCCGCCAGGGATGGGCTGCTACTTTCTGAAATGTTAAACGTAAGACGTTAATCATAAAATTTAATATACAATTTTTAAATATTTAAAATTATGAAATAAAAAATAATAATATTGAGGAATATCGAAACAAGATGCAAATAGTTTCCGAACCAGGAATAGACCCATCACTGGTGGAAAATATCGGTTTCATTTTATTTTTACTATCATATTCAATTTTATGAATTAAATCTATATAAATTGTTAAACACACGGAAAATAAAACATCAATATTTTTGTAATTCTAAAAAGTACATTAGAAAAATATATTTTTGCCGATGTTTTTAAAAATCATTGTGCTGATAATGCACTTACACAGTCAAAATATTTATATTATGCTGAGAAATAACATTATAATAAAAAAAAAAAAATCATAATTTCTTTAGCAAAGACAAATCAGTGTAATTTGTCTATTTCCTCTAAATATGCGACTATTTTTACAAGATGTTAATTTATTTTAAAAATTCTTAAAATCTCTTACAAACATGAAGAATTTCTGAAAATAGATTTATCGTGCATTTGCAAATGAATTTTCTTATTAACACTTTTTTTTCCAAATAAATGTGAAAATTAAACAAATTATTTAGTAATGTATTTCGATTGTTTAAAAAACATTATTTTTGTTGTAAAATATTAAGTAATATGAAAAGAAAAAAAAATATATTTTCTTTTTGAAAAAACCACGTGAATGTTCATCGCTTATCAGTTACTTGATAGTTAATAGTACATTAAAAAAAAATAATAGTCGCATCTGATAAAATAGTTCGAAACACACAATATAAATTTTGAACCGTTAAAAAAATGTTTTCAAACGGATAATGATATTATTTGTAGCGTATATATATATATAAATGTGGAAAAATATTTTTAGTGTCACTTATCAATATTTTTTGCATTAGCATTTACTTGTTGATGATTTTATTAAAAAAAAAAAAAGAAGCGCAACAACAAAAAATAAACCATCATTTACGTCAGTAAAGTACTTATGCCTAATACATATAGTGGTGTAAGGTCAGGACGTTGTCTCTGCTATATGACGATGCACACTATGGATAAGATTAGGTTCTTCCACCTCATAAAAGAGGTAAACGTCGACGGGAGCTAGATGTGCGAACGCCTCTGTTTGCTCTTCCTCTATTTTCGCATACTCTCATTGCGTATATAAAGAGTCGTCCTCGGGACATTCTCAAAGACGATTATTGGCAGTGATCCGGGATTTTCTGCGTCGTGCGACTGTGCCGATTTAGACAATTTCGATTTTTTATTTCTCCAAAATTTTTCGGTTTTCTTTTTTTTTTACATAGTTTTTTTTTTTTTTACAAATTATTTGGATTGAAAATGGATTTAGTTGAATTTTGATAATAATACTTTCCTGACATGATGTTTTAGTGAATTTTGGTTTAGTTTATTTGAATATTAAATAAAAAGAAGCCATTTGGATAATTATTAATATAATGATGATTAGGATGATGATGATGATGCTGTGAAGAGGAGCCAGTGCAAATGAGAGAGAAAAAAAGGTGTGAATATAAATATTATAAAGTGAAGCAGAGAAGAAAAGTGGAAAAATGGGGAATTCTAATAGAGAAGCCGATGTTGAGATGAACGCCCTGTCTGCTGCTTTTCCCGGTGATCGACCGCATGTCATGGTTATTATTACAGTTCTAATATTTGCGTGTTTTTGATAGCATTTCATTGCTTTTTTTTTCAATATCATGAGATTGCTTTTCTCTAGAATCATATAGAAGCACCAAACTGAATTTCTGCTTTCTAAAATAAAAATTGGTTCTGCTCTGAATAATCCAGACTGGTATCAAATTTTATCGTCACATTTGTTTAAAATTGGTTATCAATAATTTCATTTCATGCAATTGTCATTACCAATAACTTAAATTTGAATCTGCTTCTCTAAATATTTGATGTTTTTTTTCCTCCTTAAGGATTGAGGACAAAAAAAAATTAGTTTGCTTTAAGGATAAAATATCCTTATTGGGAAAAAAATTTTTATAGACAAAAAACGTGTTGTGTCTTGCAAAGAAACGTTACCCACGTTGAGATTGAAAGTATAATAATAGTATAACGAAGGAGGTCTTGGCGCCTAGAGCACGTGTAGTAAGCATCATCTTGAACGCCTCCACATTAGATGCAATAGATTTTGATTTGTGCTTCAATCGCAATTCAGATATAAATGAAAAAGAGAAAGAGGTGGGCGATTTTGCATATATGGCATAACTTGGCACTGACGATATACCCCTATATATACTTATAAAAGTCGAGTTCAATTATTACTCAGATTCTTTGGGTATACGTTACTTTAGGCGCCAAGAATTATGCAATTGAAATTTAACTTCGAGAATTACAATAATTAAATTGGTAGCGGAAAAATTTTTACAATTCCAACACCCATTGTTCGTTCTAAAATCATATTAAATTTTTTTGTCGGCGTTTTGATTTTGACTATATGCTTCAATTTCTGATGCTTCTGCTTTATCCAAAAGCCTAATTAGATTTTGTCATCGGAGTGCTAATTATAATTTTTAAATATTGTTCTGTATTATGAAATTTGCATAATACTAATAAGATTCATTTTTATTTTAAATCTTGTTACATAAATTTTAGCACTATTTTAAAGGCGCAATGAAAAACAGTAAAAAGCGTTAATTGCTAATTCCTTAAGGAATAGATATGGATGAATCTTCCAATTTTGGCTAATTCAAAATTGGAGATTGTTTTAACATAATTCCTAAATCTATAAACTGTTATTACGAGATTATTTTCTTGTAATGCATTTAATTTTCTAGATTCTAGAAATGAATATATATATATTGATTTATTCAAATTAAAAATTTATTAAAATTATTTTGTTACAGAGAACGCCTATGCGCCCGATGATAGCGGAATACGACCCAAAGAAGCACGGGGTGAAAACAGAACTGTCAGACATGGTTCTTGTCAAGTAAGTGTTGACAGTTGAAATAAATGAAACCGATGCGAACGAACGGTCAACAGTAGATCAAAACGATTTACTCTACTTCTACGACCAATCATCACCATTGCTTTCTTGCCAAATCCAAATAGTCAGTGCTCTAGCAATAATGTGAGTGACTCAGGAGGATCATATATATCGTGCATTTTACTTCTTTGTATATCTTATATATGCTCACATTTCATTCCCATTTTTTTTTTTTTTTTTTTGTCTTTACTTGATAAATATAAATCAATTCATGTACGTATATATACAGAACGCATACCACCTGATATTAAAAGCTGAATCCAAGTTCAGCGAGTTTAGTTGACATTGAAAGACATATTCACTATTACCATGGCATTCAATCACAGTCACAAAAATTGATTGAATAAAAATAACAAAAAAAATGAAATGAATGACGTTAATGAATGGTGTATAAATTATTATTATGATTATTAGTATTATTATTATTATTATTATTATTATTATTATTATTACTACTTTGAATGAAATGCGTATGGTACTGAATAAAATTTACATAATGTGAATGAATTTAATAAGAATGAATGGATGTAGCATTAAATTTACATTAAATATTGCATCAAAAATGAATGAGTTACTGAATTACATAAAATTTATAATATGAATGAATATTTCCTAAAATGTGTGAATTGAAATAAAAATCAATTTTATTGCATTTCAATTAGAGAGTTTAATAGAGACAGTTATTGAATCATGCAAAATATTAAAATCAAAATAAAATTACTATATAGATCATTGGAAAATTTTTTTAATAATATTCTGGAAAATCCCATATAGACATTTATCTTATATAATTAAAATGCATTGAAAGTATTTTTCATTAAAACATTCTTCACTTTAATTTATTTTTTTTTTATCACAAATTGTTTTTCTTTTTCTAATATGCAAGGTCATTATTATACCATGCGACATTCTTCAATTTTTCCATATATATGTATTTGCGCAGTTCAATTACATTTTTTTTAGTTTTCGAAATAGTAAAATTAAAATTTTTGTTTCTTTACACTTTTCATTAAATTTTTTTTTAAAGAACAAATTCAATATACGAAAGGATAAAAATAAAATCAAGTAAAGAATGTCGTTTTACGTCAGAGAATATTGACAATATTTTTGTCTTTGAGATGGGATATATGATGGCTAAAGGCCAAGAATTCAGAAAAGTGACTAAAATAAAAAAAAAATTAATATTGTGGGTGTATGAATGTAATATGGAGTGGAAATGAAAAATATACTGTCAAAGAATGCATGCTCTCAACATAATACAATTTTATTAATTTAATGCCATGGTAGGGAAATGTCTTTCATTTTTCTATTGCAAAATAATAAGAAAAAAAAAAAAATTCTCGCACGAAAAGAACCTTTTTAAGAATATATTGGCAATATTTTCTATAAAAAAAAAATTATGTAAATTTTATATATGTTATATATATTTTACAATTATAAATATTATATAATAAATATTAATAACAAAAATTATACATATAAAAAATATAAATCTCATTATAAATATTTATAATTTTCAATTAAAAAAAAAAAAAAAAAAAAAAAAAAAGAAAATTAGAAAAAAGGAATTAGTTTTTACTTAAAGTTCATCTTGTTTTTTTTAGTCGTTTTTAATTAACGTAAAATTTTTATTTTCTTGGCAAAAAAACTGGGTTTTTTTTTTTAAATGCGAGTCTCGAGATATAATATATACGCATGCAGTGATTGTATCATAATCATGTCCATTGCGTGTTATTGCTTATACACGCGTGTAGTATAATTTATTTGTTGCCAAACGTTTCCGCTATATTGAAAATATATAGACGCATTTATATATATATATATACAGAAGCTTGAAAAATTTATCATTATTTATTCCTTAGAATGCATTGAAAAAAAAAAATAATTTTTTTTTTTCTTTTTCCCCCGCTTTTGCAGAATAACTTTTGGTTATATCGAGAATTTTTATTGTGATTCATGCCTTTGTATTTAAATGCTTATCGTCACGCAAAATATTTATTTATCTTATTTAGAAGTATATATATGCATTTTTTTTATATGCATAAAAAGGCAGAAGTATGTTTGTTTTATTTAATTAGTTGTCAAGTTCGGTTTATATTCTCTATATAGGCATTTTCCGAAAAAAAAAAAAAATGGAAGTTAATATTTTTTGTATTGAAGAATGGGATCGAAAAAAGAAGCATACAGAACGGTATTTATGATATATGTCGTTAGTTAGTGTAAAGTATTTTTTATGTGAATATTGTTTGAAAATTTTATTTAAGATCGTTAAATGTGGTAAAGTCATTTTGTGTATACAATATTTTATTATTTTTGGTTTTTAAATTTTATTTTTATTACCATGGTAATTTTGAGGTCAAGTGCTACAAAAAAATTTAATTTTCTTTTTCAATTGTATAGGGTTTATTATTTAGAGTTTTTTTTTTATAAAAGTTTTTTATATATATTTTTTAATTTTAACTTTAAATGATATATTTATTGTAAATTAAATATTGTATAAATAAAAATAAATTGACTTTACTTTGCGGTTTATATTATTCTTTGTTTATTATATCATTGAGTTTCCTAAAAAAAATATTTCAGTCGTGTGTATAGAACTTTATAAATTTATTACAAATAAGCAAAAAAAAAAAAAAAAACACGTTTTAATGCCAAGAAAATTATTTTATTAAGAAAGTATTATTTATTAAAATTAAATTAAAATTAAATTATCATAAATATTAAAGATGAACTTGAAAGGAAACTAAAAATATAAGGACTACTGAGGTGGTATGCGCGAAAAAGAAATTAAATTGAAAAATGATCCTACTTTAAATTTTGATTTCAAAAAAAAAAAAAAAAAACGCCCCGATTATATAATTTATAAAATATTGACTATAAAAATTATTTTAGTATAAAGATTTCATTATTATTTAAACTTAAAACGATGTTGTTTTTTATTGTATAATATGTGCATTTATATGATTCCAGAAGTGCGTATAGAGTCCGGGCGCACAGATATAACATTCGGGCTCTATATGAAAGTACTCTGCGAACTTAAAAAGTTAAAATCAGTGAAGTGACCAATGACGTATACTAAAAAAAAACGGACTTGACGCTAATTAACCAAAAGGAAAAACTCACGAAAAAAATTGTAGTATTTTCTTTTTTTTATTTTGTAATTTAAAATTTTTCCTTTTTTTAAAATATATTTTTTAAAGAATTAAATTATTTATTTTTAATTATATTATTTTTAATGATAAACATTCTCAGGGTCGCTTTTAAAGTGGTTCGCGATTTAATTTATTTTTGAATTTTATTTACAAAAAAATTTTTAATTTTGTTTATCAATTTGCTAATTACAATAAAAAAAAAAAAAATAATAATTCTTGTAATTTAACTAGAAATTTAATCTACAATATTTTTCGCCAAAGAACCATTGTAAGGGAGAAGTTTAACATTAAACTTTTTTTTTTTAAATCAAAATAATTATAATTAAAAAAAAGTTTTTTTTTCACAAAAAAAAGTAGTTAAATTTCTCCTCTACAATGGCATTACACTTGAATTGAAATTTGACTTAACCTTAAAAAAATACGCACTTGACCTTATCTACTGTTTGTGTACCATTAGTTCGAAAAAAAAATGAAATAATGAAACTTTACTGATATTTTTCTTATTTATTTATTTATTTATTTTTTTAATGCAAGAAAAAAAAATAAAGCAGCTAATCGTTTAACGTGTGTAACCCTTATTTTTGTGAAGTGCAATGTTAGAGTAAACACGGCTTTTGTTAGTCGTCGTACTGCGTCGTGGCGCTGGGCGTCGGTGATGCAGTGCGGTGGTTGCAGCTGCCTCAATCCGCGCGTGACACACACGCGTTGAAACCTGTGTCGTCACGTGACACGTGACACAATAAACTCTAGTCTGAGCTTTCTCGACAGAAAGCTCCACACATCTAAGGAGAGAAACTACCGCACCTCAACGGGTACCTACTACACACCTACCTTTACGATATGTAAAAACCTATCCTATTTTAACTGTAAAAAAAAAAAAAAAAATTACCTTTTATTACAAGGTAATAAATAGGAGAGATGAAAAGCATTTCATTTAAGCCGTTTTATTAATTAAAAAAACACGCAATTGCATTTAATCTATGGTTTTTGTTTATTTACTATATATATATATACTGCTATTATTATTCAAATATTTTAATAATAAGCGCAAATTGTGTTGTATTTTTTCTTTTTTTGGGTATTTGAGTAAAAATTTGTCGAGGATTAATTTATCTTTAGTAGAGGGTATCAGGGTTGGATAGTAGGACATTGAGAAATTCTTATTGGTTGGTAATGTTTCCGGTAATCTTACCAACCAATAAGAATTTCTCAATGTTCTACTATCCAACCCTGTTCTCGACATAATATTTCTGATTAAGAAAGCTAATTGATAAAATAAGATTTTTGTTTTCTAAACGGCTTATATACAAAAAAAAATAATTTCTTCTTTTTTTGCGTCAGTCACAAAACGCACCGCTATTATACTAAATTGTGATAGTTGCCTTTGGGAATAAAATCTAACTATTTTACAACAAAAATAATACCCTTTACTGATTTTTCTTTTTGCCTCGTCAATTTTAATAAAAGTTTTTACTGTGACTAAATACATATTGATGGCCTTTTAAGATTATTGTAGTTCAATGTATGAATACCAGAAGTATAAAAGAAAATAATAGAATGTCAGATACTGAATATGTAAACTTGTGGACAGTGAATGAAAATTGTAAACTCTCTTTTTGTTATATATGAATATATTTCTGATGATGTTTGTTAGAATGTGTAAATTGCATTGACGAATGAAAAATCTGTTTTTAATTTTTTTTTACAAAATTTACTTCAATCTTAAAATGCCATTAATATTACACACAGCGCTAAATTTTTTGTAATTTACAAAATATTGCAATCACGTTTATATATAAATAAACATGATTGCCAAGTTTTTATATGACAAAAAAAAGTCGCAAACACATCACATTCCTTAACAGAAAATGCAGAGATTCAAAAATTTATTAAAACATTTAATGAGAATGAAAAAAAAAAACATCCAAGTGAAATGACTAAATAAAATATTTTATGAGTCGTGTTGGTTATTTTTTCTTTTTTTTTTTTTTTTTTTGATAAAATGTTTTTTGAATCTCATTGTTAAGTAGAATGTAAAATTGTGACTGTTGACTTTTTTGAAACAAAAAGCAGGACACGATATAAATTTATGTAATATAAACAAAACTGTAGTGCAATATAAAAAAAAAAAAATGCGTGATTATTTGCACGAGTGAAGCGTGTAGAATATGTGAATTGCGTTTTTTTTTTTTTTTTTTTTTTTTTTGTTAAAGTTGATAATATACACGTAGGAGACACGGGTCATTGGTAAAAACAATTGGAATTTTAGTTGTATTAATTATTATCAATAATATCTATCGTAATATAGAAACGTAATCTAACAAAAATGAAAAAAAACACGTACATGGTGTGAGATACACTTATACATATATATATATTAAACTTCCACATATTCAAAAACTTCCATTCAGCGTTTGCTGATAATTTTTTTCATTTTTTTTTTTCGAAACAACTGACTTGCTTCGAGCAAAAGACTTAATAAATTATTTTTAAATTCTACCTTGTATTTATTTTTTTTATGTTAATTATTTCTAATTATATAGGAAATAAAAGCGTGTAATAAAACCAGTAGCGCCGCCATAAGACAATGTTTGTAGCGAACCTATGATTGTGTGATAGAACTAAAAAAAAATATAGTCAAAAGGAGACTAATTTTTTTTTAAACATGAGTTTTAATGATAATTATACGACTTTCGGAAAAAAAACATGTGGTGGCGCTGATAAAAAATTGTAACTCGTTTTATTATCAGAATATCTAGAATATTTAAATTTCTCAAGAGTGGATTTTTTCAATTATAAAGATAGAAATTAACCTAGACACTTCATTAAATTATTTAGTTGCACTGATCAGATTTCACGTTGGATTTTGTTGCATATTAAAAAAAAAAAAAAAAAAAAAAATCAGGAAACCTGATAATGTCTTTTGTCGATGCGGTCAGTTCACACATATAGAAACATAAATACGAGTCATCATCGAATGCACATGCACGTTCATAAATTTTTTTTTTTCCTATACGAATAAAAACGTCATCAACAAAGTAAAACGATTTGCACGAATTAAAACCTGAACTCAACAACTATATAATATATTATATACTTTTGTACTCATTACATATCATTATATCGGGTTCTAAAAAGTATTTTTTTTTCTTTTTTTTGCTAACATATATATATATATATTTAGAAAATAAAAATGAGTGAATGATTTTGCGTAATATTCGAAATATCATTTGCATGATGTCTATCCTGTTTTCCAGTCATCCGAAAAAGTGTCTTTGATCTGCTTTTTATAAATATATCATTTTTTTTTTTTTTTGTTCACGCAACTTAAAATACTATTACACTAAAGCTTGTTATATGTTTGCTAGGAACGAATTAATTATCATAGCATCCTTTATATTGTATACTAATTATATTTTTGCATATATACGCTAGATAGTTGATATTATAAAATTCCGTTTTTAGATTTTTGAATCAAAGACATCCTGATTTTTGAATCCTTATATCCTGTTAGGTATTCGATAAATTGACTAATATACATATATTTCTATGTATATATATATAAAATGAATGAATCTCTGTATGTATGGGAATATATAAGTAATTTACCATTAAGTATTATAATTTTAAGTGGACAATTGAGTTTATGGGAAAAACTAACAATCACGGTTTTACAGATACAAGTGTGAGAGAAATGATGTTCCAATTACGGTTACGAATGGTTCAACTCTACCACTTGTGGAAAGGCCAAATGATGAAGAAGCAGCATTGTACGATCCCTTTGAACATCGTAAACTTGCTCATCCAACATCGGATTGGGATACATTGGTTCATTTGCTTAAAGGAAGTTTGGGATCCGGGATCCTTGCTATGCCATTGGCCTTTAAGAACGCTGGTTTGTTCGTTGGGCTATTTGCCACCTTCTTAATTGGTGCTGTTTGTACCTATTGTGTACACATTTTGGTTAAATGTGCTCACACACTTTGCAGACGTACACAAACGCCAAGTTTAGGATTTGCCGATGTCGCTGAGGCGGCATTTCTTGTTGGTCCTGAGCCAGTGCAAAAGTACGCGAGATTGGCCAAGTAAGTTTTCAAAAGATTCAAATTTTTCCTTCGCTGTAAAATGAAAGTACTAAAACAGTGCCGATTTTAGGTATCAAATTAGAATCAAATGACAATTTAGTACCTGAAGTCGGTATTAAATTAATACCTGGGGTCAGACTAAATATACTAAATATAAAAGAAATATTGAGTTGAAAGTTCGCAATTTCTGCATTTTTGCGAACTTTACAACTGAATATCTCCGTTAAAGAAAAATAAAAAAAATTGGCACTTGCACAGCAGCTAAATCGGATCGAAATCTACGCGCACCATATAAATTCCGTTTTGGTCGCGAAACTATTTTAGGAGATATAGGCGATTTAAAATTGCACATTATTTTCAGGTTAAAACTGTACTTGCTTCTAACTTGAAGTTTAAAGACATATTTTATCAATTATTTTAATTTTTTCACTAATTTAATCATTAGAAAATAATAAATCAATTCATTCTAAACAAGAAACAATAATTTTTTTTTACCTTTTTAACAATTATTATATGTTTTTTTATATATTTTATAATTGCTAAAAAAGTGACAGTTTTCCGGATCTTCTTCACTTTAAACTCATATTTTGAGAAAAATAAAGAAATTTTTGTAATAATTCTTTTTATTTCGTTCTCTGCATATCATAAAGAATCAGTACTGCAAGTATCAATTTTTTTTTAAATTAGGCCGCAACGACTTTGGTCGAAATATAAAAGGTCTGACCCACCTTTCTTTTTACAGTCTTTTTTTTATCTTTCATAAGATAATCTTTCATGATTCATAAAAAAAAATGAATCATAACTAAACAAAACCATTAATTTGTCAAGAATTGAATTTCCATTGTTTGTTTATAATTTATCAATAAAATGATAATGAGTTTCTTTGGATTCATTATCTCTAATTTGTGTTATCAGTTTTTAATTATATACCTGATTTTAGTTGTATATTATGCGAAACAAAAAATTGATATAAAAAATTTATTTTTTTCATTTACAGAGCGACGATAAATTCGTTTCTAGTAATCGATTTACTTGGTTGTTGTTGCGTGTATATAGTATTTGTTGCCGATAATTTAAAGCAAGTTGTTGATCATCATGCTGAGATTGATGTGGACAAACGAATTTATATGGCGGCACTTTTGCCATTTTTAATGGCACTTTGTCTCATAAGGAATTTAAAATTATTAGCACCATTCTCAATGGTTGCCAATTGTCTTGTGGCAGTAGGATTGGGTATTACATTTTACTACGTATTTGATGATTTGCCACCAATAGGCCCAGTACCCAAGTTTGCCAGTTTCTCACAACTTCCTCTATTCTTCGGAACTGCCATCTTTGCATTGGAAGGAATTGGTGTTGTAAGTTTATTCTTATTGTAAAATTTATGTTCTAAACTCCCAATACAAACTCAACTTGATCTAAAAAACCTTTTTCCTGTTTCTTTTGTCCCTATTGACGACCACCTTCTAAACAGTCTCTTATTTCAATTCCATAACTTACACAGGCCAACAAAATTAGCAAACTTTTTTGGTGCGGCAAATGTTAGACATGTTTCTGATAGGTTTTTTCATGACGAACACGAATCCGTAAACGAAAATTTCCTATCAGCTCTAGTTTTTGAGAAAAACGGGTTTAAAATGTTCAAAAATCGCGTTTTTGGCTAACTTTGAGTACCTCTAACACTGAAACAAAAGGTCGTAGAACCTTCCACTCGGGACATTTGGTTTTATTGACTAGAGTTAAATACTGGTTACCAACAATTTTGAAGTTATTAGTGAATAATATAATTTTTAGGGCTTGTAGTCTAAAGTGCAACATAGGTCATTTTTGGGGATAATTGTTGAAACATTAAGCCTTAATTTAAGCCCAAGTGGAAGGTTCTACGACCTTTTATTTCAGTGCTAGAGGTACTGAAAGTTAGCCAAAAACGCGATTTTTGAACATTGAAAACCCGTTTTTCTCAAAAACTAGAGGCTGATAGGAACTTTTCGTTTACGGATTTGTGTTCAGCATGAAAAATCATATCAAAAACAGGTCTGACATTTGCCGCACCAAAATCAGTGTTGGCCTGTGTTATCAAATCTTTTCAATGATCCTTTAGTAAATATCCTAAGATCCACTTCCGCTATTAATCATTTTTAATGTATCTCTTCTTGCAGGTGATGCCTTTGGAGAACAACATGAAAAATCCAAATCATTTTACTGGTTGTCCAGGAGTTTTGAACATTGGCATGTTTTTCGTTGTTTTACTCTACAGTGTCGTTGGATTTTTTGGTTACTTAAAATATGGTGAGAGCACATTGGAATCAATCACATTGAATCTTGATCAAGATCAAATTCTCGCTCAATCAGTGAAATTGATGATTGCAATTGCCATATTTTTAACATACGGTCTTCAATTCTATGTACCAATGGAAATAATATGGAAGAATTTGAAACAATATTTTGGTTCGAGAAAACTTGCTGGTGAATATCTTGTGCGTATTGTTCTTGTTATATTCACAGTTGGAGTGGCAATAGCTGTACCAAATTTGGGACCACTTATTTCACTAGTTGGTGCCGTTTGTCTATCAACAATGGGTTTAATGTTTCCATCGGTTATTGAATTGGTGACATTTTGGGATGATGAAAATGGACTTGGCAAATGGAATTGGAAATTATGGAAGAACATTGCAATTATATGCTTTGGTATATTGGGTTTTGTGACGGGAACCTATTGCAGTATTTTGGAAATTCAAGCAGCTTACAGTAAACCAGCGCATTGAGCGCTAAGGGGTGGAGTTATTCGTGGTGCACCCTTCTCTTCAGAATGACGTCTGACGAGTCCACGAGAGAGAAAGAGAGAGAGAGTTGTGGTGTCACGTCATCAAGAGTGATGCGTTTGCGAGGGTTTTATAGAGTGTTTGCTGCTATCATATTATTTTTTTTCCATCATACAAATTTAAAATCTAAAACGGCTACTCTGCACCTTTCGCAAAAAACAAAAGGCTGCAACAAATCTAAATCTTTGCTCCCAGGAGCAGATGCGCACACTTTTGTACCATGTTGGTACTCTTAATGACTGACCGTTTGAACAACAAAAAAAAAAAAAAACAAAAAGTAATGACATGGAATTTAACATTCATCGTGACTTACTTTATGAAAAGTTTTCTAATTTGATTATAAAGAATCATGCAGCTCGCTTTTTTTTTATCTGATTATGCAGTGGGGAAAGAAGCAGAATTTTAACATCTGATTATGTTTGGCTTAATTTTTTTTTATGTCAAACTAAATTAGCAGCGAGCTTCCGCGAAAGCGCACAAATCCGCGAGATATATTTTCATTTTTAAAACAACAACGAGATTCTTTGTGGGGAAAAAGTGAAATTTTTCATTCGGTTTTTCTGTACAGATATACGAGGAATTCATTATGAAAATCTTTGTTATCTCTTTCTCTATATCATCGCCTACATTTTTTTTTCCATTGACCATCTCTCTGCTTCGCATACATGTACATATTATAAATATATATATACGTAGTTCGAAAGTTTGTGATTTTGCCTCGCACTAAAGTCGTAGCAATTTGTCTATAGTAATTTTTATTTTTTTTTTAGATATTAGGATAGGATCGACAATTTAACTGAGAGATTTTTTTTTCAAGATAATTTTTTTACTGTTCACATTGTGTTCCATTGTATTGAAAATTTATAAATGCCGAATACAGAAACAAAATTTTGATAACAGATTTATATGTAAATTTAATTCTACAGTGGTATCCCTTGATTTAATTATAATTTAAAAATTCAAAGAAAAGTAATTGCAAATTCAATTTTTTTTTAATTCTGTAGACCTTTTTTTCTGTAAATATTCTAAATCAAGGGATTAAGCTAATTGAGAATATTTTTCTAAGATTTATTATATTTTTAATGAATAAACAACACATTGTGACCGAAAAATTAAAGCAGGAAATGGCAGGATACGATTTTTTTTTTTAGAAATCGAGACTTTTTTTTTAAAATCATTTGTTTGCATTTGAAAGAAAATTAGTATTTTCATTCTATTACTTGAATCTAAAAAAGTATATGGCATTCCAATGACTACGATCTTATCACTCTATATATATATATATGTATTAGTCAAAGAAAAGTATTTTAGTGTCAAGACTTTTTTTTTTTTTAATAAAAAAGAAAACGAATGGTATTTCAAATTAGATGTAATAACGAAATCATTTCATCCAAAGATTTTATTTTTCAAATATTTTGGTACTATTCACAGAAAAATAAGTATGAAAATTTGTATTTTTTTTTTAAATTTGATTAAATTATGGAGAAAATGACGAAAAATTGCTGCTGAATCTCAAGCTCAGGCAAACTACATTGTTTTTAAAAGTTGCACTTTTGTACAAAATACATGACAATATCTGTAATATAAATCTTTTTTTTTTTTTTAGGAGAGAGAGAGAAACGTTAAACCGTGTGTTTATTTTATGTGATAAACTGCGAAATTGTCAAATTTTGTTAAAACTATATAAGCGAAAAATTAAATCAACGAATTGAAAATGTAGAATGATTTTTGTATATTATATAGCTAGTCGATAATGAAAAATAAAAACAAAATACATGTGATCGTTTTTGCGTCCGCCTCAAAATTATCGCGTGCCTAAGATTTTTTTTTTTTGGTATATTTTAATATTTAAAAAAAAAATTCAATTTTTTCAAGGTTAGATTTTTTTAAAACTATTTTTAGATTTACATTATTGTAAATTATGGCAACTATATAGTTTTTATTTTTCTTTTGTTTTTTAATAGTTTCTATAAACACACGAAACAGTATATAAAATGAATTTATAAATAAATGCGATGGACGCTTTTATACTCGGGTGGTTTAGTACACCACTATTATATATATATATATATACATATATGTAGACTATGGTCTTTTTGCCTTTGCTATTATATTGTAGTTGAGGTATAAAACTGTTATGCGTAGAAATGCAGAGAGTAAATATATAAAGTAGGCGGCGAAGTCAATATTTCTTGACTGTTCGATAGCAGTGATTTTACACGCGATTGTAGATATACATATTTTGTGTATATTGTTATTTTATTAATCATTGTACCATACGTTATTCTATTTAATACATGATCAATCGATTTGCAAATAGTTTATTTTATATATTTTACCTTTCTCAATTTTCATTTCAAAAAAAAAAAAAAAAAAAAAAAAAAAAAAAAATCCAAAATAATTTAATTTATAATATTAATTTTTTAAAGAATTTATTTAAGGGGAGGAATCGGTGAAATTTCAACTCATCGAAATTAATGTTGATAAAGGGTGCAGGCCTCGGATCGACTTAAAGGCACAAAAAAAGTCGTTTTAGTCGATTTATATTCTAAAAAAAAGTCGAAAAAGTCGATTTTTTTTTATTTAATAAAAATATTTTATAGATTTTTAATCAAATTTTTTTTTTAAATTATAATACTTTTGGAAGGGTGTAAAGTTGAAATTTTTAGAAATAATTGAATTTTAAAAGATTTTGTTAATTTTCAGACAATAATTAAATTTGACAAAACTAAAAAAATAATTTATCAAATAATTTCAGATAACATTTTTTAAATGTAATTGAATTTTCAAAGATTTACAATTGAGATTTTTAAAAATTAATTGAACTTCAAGTGATTTTTAATTAACAATTTTTGATGATTTCACTAAAAAATTGATTAGAAATTGCGGACAAAAATACAATAATTTGAAAACCATTTTTAATTGAAAAATGGTTTCAGATTTCCATAGAGTTATAATTAAATTTCAAAAAATTTTCGATGGAAAATTTTAGAATTAATTAAAGTTTAGAAGCTTTTAAATTCAAATTTTTGAAAATAATTGAATTTTAATTCCAAAATGGTTTCAGAAAGTTGAATATTCAAAAATTTTTCGATAGAAAATTTTAGAACCTTTTAAATTCAAATTTTTGAAAATAATTGAATTTCAATTGAAATTTTGGATAATAATTTAATTTTAGTTGATTTTTGGTTGAAAATTTTGATAATAATTAATTTTGAATTGAAATTTTTGATAATTATTGAATTTTAATTGATTTTGAATTGAAATTTTGGGTAATAATTGAATATTAGTTGATTTTGAATTGAAATTTTTGAAAATAATTGAACTTTATTTGATTTTGAATTGAAATTTTGGGTAATAATTGAATTTTAGTTGATTTTGAATTGAAATTTTTGAAAATAATTGAACTTTATTTGATTTTGAATTAAAAAGTTTTGGTAATTTTATTTGATATTTTTTTAAAATTATAAACAATTGTTAAATTTCATCAAAATTTTAATTGAAAAATAATTTGAAATAATTGAATTTGTGATGAATTTCATTAAAATTATTAAAAATAATTAATTTAGTGAAGAATTTTAGTTAAAAATTTGTTAAATAATTGAAATAAAGAAGATCTGAAGAAGATCAGAATTTTATACTAAAAAAAATATATTTTATTTAAAAATTTGTTTAAAAAATGTAAAAAAAAAGTCGAAATAGTCGCATTTTATTAAAATAAGTCTAAAAAAGTCGTATTTTTGAAAAAAAGTCGAAAATAGTCGAAAATAGTCGAAAAAGTCGTATAATCCGAGGCCTGAGGGTGTCAATTTTTTTTTTCTGACACTATTTTGGATCTAAAATTATTGTGAATTATCAAAATTAAAAAAAAAAATTTTTTTTGACTATTTTCAAAATTTTATTTTTTGAAAATATTAAAATTTAAAAAAAAAACCACACGATTGATTGTTCAGAATCATGAAAAAAAAGTCTACAAAAAAAATTATCGATAAAAAATAATAAAATTTGTAGAAGAAATTGAATTTTTAAGGAATAATTTTGATCAAATTTAAACCAAAAATAATTTATTTGGTTTAGGGGTAACAATTTTTTTTTTACAATTTTTTTTTAGAACCTGAAATCATATTTCACTATGAAAAATAAAAAAAAAGTTATTTTTAACAAATTTTGCATTTATTTTTTATTTTTCAAAAATTTTATTTTTTAAAAAAAGTTGCATTTTTTCAAAATCCGCATACGATTAATTGTTTAGAATCTTGAAAAAAGTGTATTAAAAAAATCAGTAATAAAAATAATAAAGATTGTGAAAGAAATTTAAATTTTTAGTTTTTGAAAATTTCGAGTTTTATTTTAAAAATTATTAATAAATTAATTTTTTTATCAATTTCCCATAGTATATTACAGTTTTAAATATACTCAATATTAACTGAAAAAAAATTGACAACATGAAACAGCCACAATTTTGAAAGGTTAAAATTTCAGCGGTCCCTCCCCTTAATTTTATTTTTTTTTTGTTTAAAATTTAAAGAGTATATCGCGATGGCTTTGGAAAAGATGATTTACTTAAAACGAACAATATTTTCAAAAATATATAATAAACATTAAATTTGAGTTTTTTTTTTTTTTTTGTATTGGCCCTTGGGAAAAAACAACAAAAGATGTTATTGAAGATTGCTTTGTTAACTTACGAGAGTAACACCAGCGTATTGTTAAAAGAAAATGCAGGTAGAAACAAGTCTTTTCAGCTTTCTACAATTTACTACATAATCCCACAGCAGGATGGTACAAGGATATACAATATTTCAAACTTTGACAAAAAATTTACGTCTCCGGATTAGATTATTATTATTATTATTATTATTATTATTATTATAAACGGTTTATGTGCATAAACTGCTTTTCTTTAATACTCAAATATAAAGAAAAATTTTAATAATAATATTGAACAATATTTTCAAAAACTTTCTTTCTTTAAATAAGCAATTTTTTCCGAGGGAAACTTATTTCATTTGAAACCACCCAATGTTCACAATTTTCATTTCATTTTATTTTGTAAAATTAATAATTAGAAGGAAACTAAACATATATATCGTTAATTCATATCTATTATGCATGAAATTTTACTTATCTCATTAATAACCTCAAAATTATTATTCTTTACATATTTATATATCAATAAAATAAATTTCATAACCTCAAAATTATTATTCTTCCCATAAACACAAATTTGTTATAAAATCGTGTAATTTTACTATATTTGAACTGAAAAAAAATCTTACCTTTTCATATACAAGTTTAAATCGTTAAATATCATATGTTTTATGATGGAGGGCAATACAAAAAGATTGTCGGCGTTTTTCAATTTTTCAGTCTTGTTATTTAACACATATAGTTATTTTCTAGTTGCTTTAATATTATCTTAAAAACTTATTTATAACTCACTCTGATTCATCCTTCGTTGGAAAATAAAGGATAACACATTTCTCAAAGACTGTTCCAGAAATACTAAATTTAACGACTGATTTGAAACTTAATTATTTACCTAAAGTAACTAATGACTAATTCTACTTTATCACTTGACGTTAGAGAACAGGATAGGATAATAATGAAATCTACTTTATCGCTTAACGTTAAGAGAATGATTCCTTAAGGAGACAGACAGGTGCGTTCAGGACTTTGAAAAAAAAAACCTAACCTCGCGCATCTTCCGCCAGGGCAGAGCTCCTCTTTTTCTCAGAAAGAAAGACGCGATTTTTCCACCGTTTTTTCCCCTTGTTAGTGTACAATTTATTTCATACCGTTAATTTTTAATCAAATTTTTTTTATTATTTAATTTAAAAAGCAAAAGTTATAACGAAATAAACATTAAATAGCGTTCAATAACAATAACTGGGCAAGTGAACTTAAATTTTTCTAAGGTTATATCTTGTAAAGACAAAAAGAAAAGAAAAATGTGTTTTTCTCTACATTCATGCATTTTGTATTTAATTTGATGCAATGTCTGATATAAATTCTGAAGAGAAGATTAAAAGTATAAAACCCAGCCTTATTACAGATTTGCGAAGATTCAGATTTAAGAAAACTGTGAAGAAAATGAACACGTGTAAGTTGAAATTATTTTTCATTAGAATTATTAATCTCTCTATAAATGAGAATTGTTTCTTTATGTCAATGTGTTTTTTAATAATCGAATTTTATAAAACTAATTTTATATTTATAAATTTTGTTTGTATAGTAAGAAATTTTTATTATGAATTAAAATTTTTAGCCGACGACGATAGTAATATGAGTCCCGAAATAACAGTTCGACGAAAAGCAGTAAATCGTATTGAAGATAGTGACAGTGATGTTGGAAGTCCAACAAAACTTGCCAATTCAGATTCTGATCGAGGCTCTGAATCTAATGAAAAGCAAGAGAAAATTAAGTACCTGTTAAATCTATTTCCAAAAAAAGACTCCGAGGTACAATAATTTTCATTTATAATAAATTTTACATTCTTTTTCTCTTTTACATGGAAAAAAATTTTTTTTAGGAACTTGAAGTAATATTGGCAAAATGCGAATGGAATATTGAGGAGGCTGAAGAATTATTAAATAGTCGTCGAAAAAGAGCACACAATTCGAAAGGTAAAAAACGTAATAAAAAGCGTAGAAAAATGAGAGATGATGAAGAGGATGGTGATGTCGATTCAGATGAAGCTAATTATTCAAGTAAAGTGTTTGACAGGTATATTATTTTGTTGTATTTTCAGATTATTCAAAAATTTATTCACTTTTGAATTAAAAATTTTTTAAAAATTCCTTTCAGCGACGAAGATTCAGATATTGAAATATCAAATGATTTGTCAGGTGATAAAAAAGCAGTATTAGACTTTATGCAAATTGCTCAACCCTCGGAACTTTTGTTAATGCATCAATGTACACAAAAGAAAGTTGATGCAATTATTGCAGCTAGACCATTTACTAGTTGGTCAGATATTGTGAGGAAATTTCAAAATAATAAATTTTTAGATACTGAACTCTTGAATTCGGCGCAGGTAATAAGAAATTATTTTTCTATTCAACTGTGTAAATTTTTTAAATATTTTTTTTCCCCCTAGACGTTGCTGGCAACAAGAAGCGTTGTGGAAAATCTCATGAAAAAATGTTTACGACTATCAACAACAATGGAAAAAGCCGTTGCTGCTGGTTCATCGACAATTACACATCAACCAATGGGAATTCCTGATAATTTGAAATTAGCACCCTATCAAATGGTGGGATTAAATTGGTTAGCTGTGATGCATGCTCATGGTGTTAATGGAATACTTGCCGATGAAATGGGTCTTGGTAAAACTATTCAAGTTATATCATTTCTCACTTATCTCAAAGAATCAGGATTCTATGATGAAAATGATGGACCACATTTAATTGTCGTTCCCAGTTCTACAATGGGTAAAAAATATTTTTGATAGAAAATTTATTTCAAAATATGAAATATTAATAAAATTTCCTCATTTTTTTTGTTTAGAAAATTGGAGTAACGAATTAGAACGATGGTCACCTGATTTAAATGTGGTAAAATATTATGGCTCACAGGATGAAAGACGTGATATGAGAATGGGATGGCGTAGTGGTGATTTAGATGATGTTGATATTATTTTGACGACTTATAATCTTATTAGTAGTACACCGGAGGAAAGACGATTGTTTCGCGTGATGCCTATTCAATATGTTATTTTCGATGAAGCGCACATGCTTAAAAATATGGGAACAATTCGTTACGAGAATCTCGTCAAAATTAATGTAAGAGAATTTAAAAAAAAAAAAAAAAATGAGAATTTAATATTTTTTTTTTTATACAGGCGAAACATCGCATTCTTCTAACTGGAACTCCATTGCAAAATAATTTATTGGAATTAATTTCACTTTTAATATTTGTGATGCCTACAATGTTTGCAGGAAAGCAAGCTGATCTCAAAAGTTTATTCTCAAAAAATCCAGTATGTATTTAAAAATCTATGTATCGAAAAATTCATTTTTTGTTTTTGGAAATTAATTAAAAAAAAAAATTTTTCGTAGAAAGTAGCAACGAAGGATAACAAAGATAAGCCACTCTTTGAGCAGGAGCAAGTGAAAAATGCTAAACAAATAATGAAACCATTTGTATTACGTCGTTTAAAATCGGAAGTATTGCGTGATCTTCCAAAAAAAAATGAGGAAGTTATGAGAATTTCAATGATTGAAAAACAAAAGGAAATGTACGGGAATTTATTGAGTGAATTTTCAGATGAAGCTAATAAAAATAATATTATTAATGGAGTTGGAATGATGATGCAATTGAGAAAACTCGCCAATCATCCACTTTTATTTAGATCTTATTATACTGAAGATAAATTAAAGGTTTGAGATTCGATTTCTATTTTTTATTAATCTTTTTTTTTCCAAAATAAATTTTTTCTTTTTTTTTTTTAGACAATATCAAAGCGACTCGCCATGGAATCTGGTTATAAACAAAAGAATCCAAATTATGTATTCGAAGATTTATTGTGGATGTCTGATTATCAGATAAATCAACTTTCACGAACATACAAGAGCATTGCTGGTTTTGGTCTACCATTAGATTTGATTCCCGAATCGGGAAAATTGAAAACTCTCGATGAACTTTTGCCAAAATTAAAAGAGGAAGGACATCGAATTTTAATTTTTAGTCAATTTACCATGGTTTTGGATATTTTAACAGAGTACTTAACACTCAGAAATCATAGGCATTACAGGTTAATAATTTAAGAATTTTTCCGACAAAGAAGGTAAATTAAATGGAGAATAATATATATATATATTCCTTATTCAGATTGGATGGACAAACTCCAGTAACTGAGAGACAAGAAATGATTGATGAATTCACTCACGATAAATCGATTTTCATTTTTCTTTTATCGACAAGAGCTGGTGGATTAGGTATTAATTTAACGGCTGCAGATACTGTTATTATTCACGACATTGATTTTAATCCCTACAATGACAAACAGGCGGAAGATCGTTGTCATCGTGTCGGACAAACCAAGTAAATTTACTAAAATCAAAGAATTTTTATTTTTAATATTCAATAAATTGATTTAAAAATTAATTTTTTTCTTTCAGACCCGTGAGAATAATAAGGTTATTAAGTGAAGGAACAATAGAAGAAGGAATGTACCAAATAGCACAGGAAAAATTGCATTTAGAGCAACAAATCACTGGCAATGAGGGTAAATATTTGTTTTTTCATTTAATTAAAAAGAGTTAAAAAAAAATATTTTAGAAGCGCATAAATATTTTTCAATTATTATTTTTTTTTGCAAACGATTTTATTAATTGATTTTCACATTAAATTTTTTTTTCACAAAATAGAAAATGAGACTGGCGACAAGAAGGGAGTGTTAAAACTATTGAAAATAACACTTGGATTAGATATTCACAATAAATCATTGTCACTTTCGCCTATGAAGAATTCTCACGATCTAGATGGATTAACAGAAAAAGAAGTAGAAAATGGTGAATTAGACGAATAATTAATTTTATAAATGCGATTTTTTTTTTTTTTAAATGATTTTTTCAGACGTATTTACAAAAAAAGAAAAAATAGAATAAGTAGCTTGTATAAGTTTTTAGACCGTATACACTTTTTTTTAATGTGAATGTTGACAAAAATCGGTCAAATTGTAAATCGTAATTTTTTATTTATTTTTTCGCGAATAAGTATAGAAAATTAATTTAACTCTCGCAGGAACGAAAGGGAATTTTTTTTTATATTTTGTATTACCTTCATGTTTTGATACTCATTTTTTATATAATTTTACTGTGATAGAGAACATAGAAAATTAAATAATTGAAAACAAAAAAACATTGTTTAAAGCTGCGAGAATAAATTTGTAATAATTTTAAAACTGATTTAGTGTTTCAATCAAAGTTGAGAATGTATTTTTAAAGGGGATTTTATTTAGATGATTGTGAAGTTGAATGTGATTTAAGCAATTTCTACTTCACGAATTGACTGATTTTATTTAAATTTGTATATCAATGATGATTAATTAATTTTTCTTCTTTTTAAAAATCACTTGTATTTTTATACTTGCTAGCGGCAATGCAATGTTTATTTACAATTTTTTTTTTATAATTCAAATAATACACACAATGAAATAACGTAATACTTTTATTCAATAAAAATTTTTGCTTCAAGAAAATTGATTATTTTACTCTTCAGGATAACTTTTGAAAGAATTGTTCACAATTTTTTGTGTATACAAATTTTTTATCTTAATTTTGCTAGTGATAAATAAATAAAAAAAAAAAATTGTATTTTGAAAATAAATTGAAATCTCTGGCGGTAATACAGAGTATCATGAATGAACGTAGAAGGTCAAGGAGTGAAAGTGACTGTTCGTAGTTGCCCCGAATGTGAAATATCGTGGTATTTGTACATTTATGAGATGTCATGTGAATGAGTTCTCGAGTTTAACGTGAATCGCGTCAGTTATCACAAAGTTTTTCATTTTATCTCCTCCATTTAAACAAGTACAAAAACAATATTCTATTTTCAGATTTAAAATTATTTATATAATTTTATTGAAAATAATTCAATTATAGTGTGTAAAAGAAACTTTTCCTTGCGTGTTTTAAAAATTTCTTGTTAAAAAAAAAAAAAAAAAAAAATGTGTTTTAATTTTTAATGAGTTTTGAAATTTCATTTAATTGAATTTGATTTCTTTTTCAGAAACAAAAATGTTTATCGTGTGAGAGTTAATATTTCTTTTTTTTAGAAAGCTGTATTTTAATAAATTTAGAGAAATGATTATTGAAAATGATGATAATAACTAAAACAGAAAAACAAATTTTTCTTTCCTTCGAATTTTTTCTAAATCTTTGAAAAGATTTTTAAGGAAAATTTCTATTTTTCTAAATTAAAAAAAAAATTTGTTTCTTTTTCATAAAGGGACAATTTTTTTTTTTTGAAAATATTTGAATGAAAATTTTTTTAAGAGATTGTTGACGTATATATAGGAATAAGTTTGTCGATGAAATGTTTAGAATGTTATTAGTTCTACATATATATTTGGAAAAGTGAATCGAAGTGCGCAACTACAAATTTAACGACGTTTCCACGGCGCTGGCGCTTTTGATTTCCCGGGGAATCGGGACTTTCCGGGTCTCGATCAGCTTTTCCTTATTTTCGAGGCGCGCATCAGTAACGTTTTGTCACTGCAACAGGTGAAAACCCCCCTCTTTTTTGGTGCAAAAAAAAAAAATAATATTCGCGACTTTTGATTCGTGAGGATTAAAAAAAAAAAATTTTTTTTTTAAATTTGCAGTGGAATAAAAAAGGAAAGTTCTGTTTAAAGTAGGAAAAAAAAAGAAGAAAAATGAGCGTTGACGATATCCTTAACTATACACCTGATGAAAATGAAGATCTTTACGCGCTTCTAGGATGCGATGAATCTGCTACGGTAAATAAATTTTTTTTTTCAAAAATATTAATTTATTAAATTTGTGTTTTATTAAATTTTTTTTTTCAAAAATATTAATTTATTAAATTTGTGTTTTATTAAATTTTTTTTTCCCGCACTATTTTAAATAAAATGTAAAGTAATTTAAATTTGATTTTAAAAGAAATTAATTAAAAGATGATTTAATCAAATTGTTAATTGCAAAAATATTTTAATTTTTTTTTTTGAACAAAAAAATAGTTATTTTTTATTAATTGAATCTTAATAAATTGAAAAAAGTGTATCAAAACTAAGAAAATATACTTAAAAAATAAATATTTCCCTTAAAGTAGGTAGTATTTATTTTAAAAGCAAATACAATTTGAAAATTAATATTGGTTTAAAAGTATAGATATATATAATAGCAAATATCGAGAAATTAATAATAGATTAAAAAACTAAATAGCTTTAAAACCACTTTAAAAGTAAATAAAAAAAACAAAGACATTTATTTTTCTAATAAAAGAAATAATAAATCTAATTTAATTCATTTAAAAAAAACTTTTCAAATAATAAATCATGTTATTTACAAAAACAATTTTTCATTTCTTGTCACTTGAAAAGTAATTAAATTTTTTTTTTTTTTGATAATTCCATTCATTAACAAAATGGTATGAAAAAAAATTATTACCCGAGATTATAAATAGGTGGACAGAAAAAGAATATGTAAATATTTAATAATATTTTTAACAAAGAGTCATTTTTGTTGAATAACAAAAATGATAAATGGAAAAACCTCTTATTAAAATTTAGAATTTTTTTTTTCTAGCAAAAAAAAGGAGTTTATTTAATAATTTTTTTTTTTTTTTTTTTAAGTGAATAAATTTTATATTTTTGAATATGACATTGATTATTGTTATTATTATTGTATGACTCCAATATTATATAAGGTCAAAATGAAAAGCAAATGACGCCTCAATAATTTATTATGAAAACGTCCAATAAATGTGTAAATTGCATATAATGCACAATATGCCCATTAACTTGTATATAACATATTACATAATAATAAACATTAAACTTTGAAAATTTCTCTTTGAATATTCATGAGAATAATCTAATTTCCATTTTGTCCTATTTAAACTCGCTTGCGTTGTCTTAACGATCCTTTAAAAATTTTTTATATAAAATAATGAACGTTAACAATTTTTTGTTAATAACAAAAATATCATTTTTTTTATAAACAATTTTCATATATACTATAAATATAAATATGAATTTTTTAAATTTTCTCCGTGAATCACAAGAAATTTTTTTGTTTTTCATTTTTTACTATAAAGAATCTATCACCTTTAAAAAAAAAATGACTTCTCAATATCTGAAGTTTAATTTCTAATTAAAAATATTCTAAGTATAATATGAATTTTCAAATAAAGGAAAATTTTTAAAATATAAAAAATGATTTATTCATTTTTATTTATTTTAATTTTTATTTAATATCGGTTTAAATAAATTTGTTAAATAATGAAAAATTTAAATATCAATACACTGAAAAAATAATTTATTTGATTTAAATAATCGATTAATTAAATATTTATTAGTCAAATAGCCAATTATTTGAATCAAATATATAACTTTTTTTTTCAATAACAGAATTAATATAAGTCTAATAATAAAATTTATAAATGGAAAAAAATTTGAATAATGTAAATTTAATTAATCAATTTAATGAATATTTAAGGGCGTACAAATTGGAATATAATTATTCATTATTATTTGGAAAATATGCAATTTTTTTGAATAATGAATTTTTAATTTAATTATTTTTTTTTTTTCATTAATTTTTTGTTTTAAATTTTTTTTTCAAATTTTCTCATTATTGAACATTCGAGATATTTTGTTCAGCCTTGATAAAGTTTTCGTAAGGCTTTTATACAAAAGTGACGTTAACAATAAGACAATTGGAGTGATATGACGCAAGGATTTTAGAGTGGAACAAATTGATGGTCAATTATATTTTCTGTATAAAATTTCGTTTTTTTTTATTTATTTTTTTTTTTGTGAAATGAAATTGTTTCTCAATTTATTCCAAGCAATATATAGGCAATAATAAACCCCTCCCACCCAAAAAAAAAGAAAATTACAATAATAAATTATTTATAATTTAATAGAGAGTAAATAAATTTTTAAAAATTTTATAATAATAAGAAAATTAATAATTAAAAAAATTAACTGCTAAATATTAGCAGTGTAGGCATTTTTATAGTATGATATCATAAATTATTGACCTATTGGATTTTAATTTTCAGGTTGAGCAGATAACTGCCGAGTACAAGGCTTTAGCTCTTCAGTATCATCCCGATAAAAATGAAGGGAACAAGGAAGCAGAGGCGAAATTTCAACAACTTAAAGTACGTTATAGAATAACTTTTTTTTTTAATTTTTCTTTTCTTTTGTAATTAAATTTTTTTTCTTGTATATTATTTCTATTATTTTCAATGTCGTATTCCCCTAAAAAGTGTTTTTCTTTTTTTTTATTGTCAGAGAAAATTTATTTTCCAGTCATCCAGTTTTTTTTTTTTTTTTTTTTTTTAATGATATAAAAAATGACTACAAAATGCGAAAAAAATTTATTTGATTCAAATAATCAGTTACTTTATTATCAAATAAATATTTATTTGTACATATCAAATAATTCTACTACTTGAGTCAATTAAATTGTTTTTGTTTCAAATATAAAAAAAATTATTGGTTCAAAAAATTCAAATAAAAATTATTTGAAGTATAAATATTTATTTGATAATATTCAAGTATTTAAATCAAAAAATTTTTTTTTTCAGTGTATGATTTAAAATGCAATTGGAATTAATGAACAATTTCAAAATTATCAAATTGTTGCTATTTTTGATTATAATTTTAATGTGAGGAATTTTTTTTTTTTTTTAATTTTATAAAAAATTTTTTATACAATAGCCATCTTCCGTTCACTTTTAGAATGCCAAGGAGATATTATGTGACCCTGAAAAAAGGAGCAATTACGATAAATGGCGACACAGTGGGATCTCGATTAGTTATAAAAAGTGGCTTGGAATGAAGGAGTCAGTTCACCAGGTGAGTTATGTATATATATGTATATATATATATATATATATATATATATACGTTATAATTTAATCACTAGTGTAAAATGATTCACTGGGTTAAGTAGATTTTCCTCTAATTCAACAGAAATTACCATAAATTACAATTTCCTTTAGTATAAAGTCTTATATATAGTGCTTGCCTTAATTTATTAATTTACACAGTCAGTCTCAATTTAACATTATAAAATTGGATGCAAAATTTTTTTTTATAAAAAAAAATAATGAAAAAAAAAGATTTTTCAAGTATACTCTAATAATAATTATTAAAAATAAAAGGGAAACAAGAAATTAAGGGCATGTTATACTCAATTGCGTCATTCGTTTATTATTATTTATATTCTCCTTTGAAAAAAAGGAGAAAATATTGAAATTTTTTTAAAAAATTAAAAAAAAAAAACATTGTGTGATTAAATAAAAAATATAAAGTGACACATGTCAGAATATTTTTTCAATTATCGTTTGAGTAAACAAAATTGTAAAATAAAATTTTTCTAATTCAATAGATATTAAAAAATATTTAATGAGTTATAAAATTAAAAATTCGAAATACAAAAAAAAAATGTAAAACACAAAATTTTTATTAATTAAAAAACAAAACGTGAGGCGTTTCTTTGTAAATTACTAGGAGAAAAAATTACTTTTTTTTATATTAAAAGAAAGATCATTTTTGTTCCTTATCAAAATTAAATCAATATATATATATATATATATATATATATATATATATATATATATATATATATATATATATATTAAACAACATTTTTATTGCTCATTTTTTTTCTCTTTGCTTTTATTAATATATATTCATATCGAACAATAAAAGTTTATGATTTAATAATAATTTTAAATAATAAAACAATGAAATAAAAATCTGCCTTTTTTATTTGACGCAAATTTTTATGACACGTATACATTATACGTGAAACTAATTTTTTTTATATTCAATAACTTCAAAAAGCTTTTAGATATAATGAAAAAAAGTGCAACATATGTTGCTTTGCATAAAAAAATGAATATAACGCGGAAAAAAAATGAGGCAAAGTCAATTTTGTTTTTAATTTAAAACAAAAAATATTACTGCTTTTTGGTAAAAAAAAATTACAAAATAATTTTAAATTTTTTCCGTCTCACTAAAATTTGTTCAACTAAACCAAAATAACCAGGATTAAAATTTTTATTTTAAATTTTTATTTTTTTTTTACTTCTATACTAAATTTTGAATTATTTTTTTTACAAAAAAATTATAAGAATTTAAAAAGTCTGACTGAAATATACTTTTACTACTTAAGACGCAATACAAGGTTTAAAATCAGTCTGACTTTATATAGACTTTTATCACTTCAGAAATAAATGACGAGAATTAAAAATTAGTTTTAATAAAAGTTTCTGATAAAAATCTGATATATAAAAATTATAAATATTTCAAACTTGTCTGACTAAAACTGATAGTTTCTACTGAAGTATTAAAAGTAAAGATCTATTTTTGTCTGACTTGGTCTTTTATCACTGAATCCCCCAAATAAGAGGATTGTGTTAGAAAAAAATAATCTGACGTAGGATATATATATATAAATTTTTTTTTATGAATGTAGGGTCTACAAAAAATATATTTTAATCCTTGTATAAAAAAAGGGAGCGTCAAATAGCTTTCATAACGTAATTCTTGGGGGTTGCTGATTTGATAGGATATATTACTCTAACATTAGATTATAATCTATTTTAAAAAATTTGTTGCATTTAAAAAAAGCCCTTATTTTTTTCAAAAATATATTTCTAAACATAATCTATCAAAAATTATCGTTTATGTTTATAATAAATTCTTTATAAAAATTATAAATTTATAAATAAATATAAATACAAACACTTATGTACCGCACTGAAAAAAGGGTTTTGTATTGACAACCTAACGTTTGGTTGGTATTTAAGAAACCAAATTTTTTTTGTTGAATCAACAAAATTTTGTTTGTTCCAATCAAACTTTAGTTAAGGACAACAAAAATCCTTTTTTTCTAATTTTGGTTGTGTTACACAGTTTTCTTGTATGTATCAAATTGATACAAGAATGAAGATCAACTCATGCAACGTTTTTGATTCGATATAAGGTATCAAATTGATCCAAATATTTGAATCATTTTCAAGAAATGATCCAGAATATGGGATCATTTTTTGATACCTGAATTGGTATCAAAGTATAACTGTCATGGCTGGCATGCTCTTATTGACAAGTTTATTAATTAATTTATTCACTGCACTGAATATTCAGATATTAAAAATACTTTTATTATGAATTTTAAGAAAGAGAGAAGCGAAAACTTATAAATTACGAGCAATTAAATAAGAAAACATTTATTTCGAAATAAAATGAAATACACTAACCTTTATTTATGTTTATCACATAAGATTTAAGTTAAGTTCACAATCACAACACTTGAAAATTTTTAATTATTTTTATGGTTCAAATAATTATCAATAATTTATTTATTATAAATGAACAAAATTTAAGCAATGCACGCTTGATAAATATTTCTAATGCGTTGTCAATTAATGCAATTAATAATTTCCTATTACACAATATCATAATCGACATATACATATGACATTTGTAAATAAACAGGGTTGGGAAACAAGAGCCCAAAATATATTCGTCCAAATCGAATTTCAATCCTACCCAACTCTGCTGTGGACGAACATATTTTGGGCTCTTGTTTCCCAACCCTGTTTGTTTCCAAATGTTATATATGTCGATTATATTTTCCTCCTGTGAATTATCATAGGAGTTTAAAGTTACAAGTTAGTTATATGTCGATTATGATTTTGTGTAATAGGAAATTATTAATTGCATTAATTGACAACGCATTAGAAATATTTATCAAGCTTAAATTTTGTTCATTTATAATAAATAAATTATTGATAATTATTTGAACCATAAAAATAATTAAAAATTTCCAAGTGTTGTGATTGTGAACTTTTACTTAAATCTTATGTGATAAATAAAAACCCTTTTTTCAGTGCGATGATAAATTCATAGAAGGAAGCTAGCTATAAAAAAAATTTGTTTTTGTTTTTTTTTTCAAATAATTTTTTCTACTCATTATTATCTGAAAAATGAAATTTTTGAAAAGAAAATTTTATTTTTATTAGTCTATGCACTGGAGTACACCAAAGACGAAGGATAGGATGTTGCCTGATGGCACAAGTGCCGGTGGTTCACCGGGTCATTTAAGAAGTCAACCAATGAATGCTCATAGACGAGCATCAGAAGGCGGTGCAAATATTCATTATGGAGCGCGTAAAGATCTTAATTGGGAATCACAACCTCCAAGTGAGGTTGTCAATAAATTTCGCAATTATGAAATTTAAAATCCCAACGAACCGATGAAAAATATTTGAAAAGCGTTGCATTTCTAATGGCCCATATTAATATTTGACGACTGCAAATATATATTTAAAAAAAATCAACCGAATATACGTGATGAAGAAATGAAGTAGGTGTGTTAAAATTTAAAAAAAAAATCTTTTTTCACTGTCCAACAAAAACTTACAAATCGTCAATTCAAAGAGCAAACAAAAAAAATTAACTATTTTTAAAAACGAGGCACGAGATTATTAATACAAATTTATATTTATTATTTAAAATTTTTAAATTTTTTTTTTTTTCTGAATAAACTCACAGGGATTACTATATATATGAAAAAAGCAAAATCGAAAGGGACCAGAAATTGAGAAATGACTTCAAATGATAAAAAGAGAACAGATTATAGATATGAGCAGAATATCACTTAATATTTACATAGATAAAATATAAAAAAGAGATGAATCTAATATATTCTATTTTTGCTGTTATATTCTTTATGTAAAAAAAAAAAGAGAAACCGTTGGACAGTGCTCATCCTAAAAGACGTAAATAAATGAAAAATAATTGATTTTACTTTCTAAATTTTGTCCTTTAGATTAAAAAAAAAAAAGTAAAATCATTTATTTCTCTTCCTATTTGCAAAAAAAAAATCTCTGCGAAAAAAAACGTGAATCGTGAATTTAAAAGTTGTTTTTTCGCAAAAATATAAATGTAAGTCTAATATTTGTTAAGAGATATATATATATATATAATATTGTCGTTTCAAAAGTAAAAATGTTGCCCGTTATACGGCGGAGGACTCAAGACTTGGGCCAAATATATATATATATATATAAAAAAAATTTTAAATTCACCAAATATATTTATATATATATATATATTTAGAAATATTTTTCCACATCAAATTTTTTGTCAAATTCCTTTTTTTTATTATAAATTATTATATTAAGAAAAAAAAATGTTCACAATCATATCAAATATAAGAAATTTATTATATACGACACGAAAAAATTCGAAAAAAAAAATCCTGAAAAATTTATTTTTAAGTATATAAAGAATAATTTTTCAAGTAGGTAAAAAAGAAAACTTAAGCTTTAGTCCTGCTTTTGTGTAACGGGCTTTAAAAAGGAAAAAAATATGACACTTTGCCCCTTGTGTCTGAAAAAATAGTGTTTTCGTTTCCTGCTATTGCGGAGCTTTAGACCTCGCATGTATGTAGTGGCAATATATAGAAATGTGTTTAAAAAAAAAAAAAAAAATCAACTTTGTTTTTGTAAATCAAGAAAAATTGTTAACATTTTTCTTTTTTGAAAAAAGAAAAATTTTTTACGTGACGTGAATCATTCCACTTTATTTTCCTTTTATCAAAAAAAAAAGTTTGCCGAGGAAAATTTTTTTTTTTTCTTTTTAAACTTGGAAAAAACTTTCTAGATATCAAAAGTTATAATTCTTTCTATACTGGCTGTGTGGTTCTTTAAGATAAAAAAAAATAATAATAATAATAATTCTTTTAAAAAGATTTTTTAAAAAAGTTCTTTAAAATTTTTTTTTAGTTACTTTTTTAAAAATCGTAATTATATAATAACTGTCGGAAAATGTGCAAATGTTACATATATATAAATAAATATACTTAATGTTTTATTCCCTGTTGTCAATAAAAAAAAATATATATATGTATATGAATGAATTTTTTTTGTTAAGCTATTAAATAATTTAGTATAATAATAATTTTGAGAATATTTTTAATCTTCAAAAGTATTATAGATTTATAAATAAGCTCATTTAAAATTGTTTAAAAAAAGAAAATGTAAAATTTTCTTTTAAAATTAATTAAAATTTTTGAAAAATATTTTTGTAAATCTCTCTTTTTTTCTAAAGGGATTATTTTTATGCTTTAATTTTTTTTTGTTTTTTTTCTTTATAGCTATTAAAAATAGTAATTACAACCGACGTTATATAAATTATTGAAGTTCCCTCGAAGTGACTTCTTGCGAACCCGTATGCTACGTACCTGTACCTTGTCTATATATTTTTTTAGAAAAAAAAGCGATATATATATATAGGGTGGAGAATAATTTTCAACTTATCCGAAGTGATTAAATTGAAAATAATCCAATATTTGTCAGTAACGGGATAAAAAAAAAGTTTTTTTTGAAAATTCGGAAATGTTGGAAATTTTACATTTCTGCCAGTAATAAAAAATAATAATAATAATATATCCAGGAAATTGTGTATGTTAAAAAAACAATAAAGGCACAGTATTGGGTTTTTCAAAATTATATCAAAAAAAAATTTTTAAAAATCTTGATTTAGACTTTTCTATATTAATAATTCTGCCAATAAATTTAAAAACTTGATTTATTTAGAAAAAAAAGTTATTATTTTTGAAGCATCCAATACGAGTGATTTTAAATGTAGTTTGCATACCATATAGTCAATCTTAAAAAAGAGAGAGAGAAAGGGAGAGAGAGAGAGAGAAATATGTACAAAAATCTGTCATTGGTATCGTTGGGTGTGTATCAAAAAAAGAAAAATAAAGATAGATAATGAAAACCTTGTGAAATTGCGTTTCAATAAATGTATTTAAGTAAAACTGGTAATTTGCTTGGATTTTATTACATTTTTTTCTTTTTTTTTTTTTTGCTCCCTTTAATAATTTTTGTAACCTTCGCTTTATGATTTGGTTTTTTTTTTTACTTTTTCTGCCTCCGCACTCAATTTAACTTTTAAGTTCCTTTCCATTAATGAAGTGAGTTTGCTTTGACCTAATTTGCCGCCGAGTGAAAACTTTGTTATAACAATATTTTCCCTCTTGACGAAGGATAGAATCGTTTACACACTATTTGCCAGGAATCATTTTCAGAATATATATATTAATTTCCAGTCAATGACTTAAAATTATAAACTATTATTAAAATTATTATTTTTTAATTTGATTTTTCCCTTAAAAAAAGGGAGGGAAAAATTTCTTTTTTTTTTAATAAATAAAATTTTCAGTTACGTAACCCTTTCCTCCCACCATATTATTAAAACAATATTATAAACATCTTGAAAGCTTCCCCAACTACCATTGTGGTTTACGTAATTTATGAATATATAATCACTTTAGATTGTAATTAAATAGGAAAAATAAAAAAACAAAAATTCGTTAATATTTTACATAACAGTGTTTTAATTGATTTATTCCCCATCCTCCTCAAAAATGTAAGAAATTTTTTTTTTTATAATTAAATCTATTATGCAATTATCATGGAATTGTGAAAAAAAGAAGATTAAATTTATGTCGTGACTAAAGTTGACCTCTACTACTAAAAATTACATATAAATTTTAATTAAAATTGACCTTTACTAATGCAAATATTTAAACCACATATTTTCTGAATAAAACTGACTTTTACTACTGATAAGTGTAACTTTGTATATATATATATATAGTAGGATTATATCCTTTCATAATAATACAAGGAAATTTTCAATTTAAATTTTATCAATAACTCAAGTTTACAGCCTGTTGCTCACAGATTGATAACTAGAGCAATTGTTTCGCGCTTCGAGGCACAAAACTTCGTCCAATATTCACTCTGCACATGAAATGTTTACTCAGCCGAAACCAGTTCGTGTTGTTCTCAAACTAATATGTATATACGAAAAAGTTCACCATAGCGAAGGGAAACAATTTTTTTACGAGATTGAATACTGTCCGAGGGATGTGACATTTTCAATCGAATGCAATTTGTTTCAAAATCAAGGATAAACTTTAATATATATATATATATATACAAACAAAAAAAAAATCATTTTTTTTTCTTCTTCTGAAAAAGGAATTTACAAAAATATTCGAATAAATTTCTTTTTTAAAATAATTCTGTAAAATTAATTATTTAAAAAAAGTTTTAAAAAATGCGTAATTTAAATAAGTTTTCAACTTTTGAAAAGAGGGAAAAAAAAATAAAATGTATTTATACAGAAAATTGATTGCCATTCATAAATATAAATATTCACTCGAATGAAGCGAAGAATATGTGTGAAATTACGGTTCGTGAACTGTTAAATCAATTGTAAGAGATGGAAAATAAAAAAAAAAAAAGAATGATCACTGATGTATATATAAAAATTCACCATTTTTTTTTCTTTTTTTTAAACATCATTCAACTTCATATGTGCGGCAAATAATATCCTTTCCCACTTCCGCTTTCAATTTCCCCCTTTTTGATATTGAAAGTTCGCTCAATTACTTTCTAAAAGCTTCTCCAACTTTTTGAAGGTGAATATTTTCAAATGGCTTGATAATTATTATTTTTTTGTTGAAAACCCTTTTTCAAATAAAACCATCATATAGAGTAATAAAAAAAAACGATCAATAGAAGAGGTATTAAAAGCTTTCTATTGAGAGCTTTATTCTAAATGGAACACATCAGTTATTCTATATAATACAAATTTTCAAAAGCTAAATCATATTTTTTTCAAATAAAGTTTATTATTAGTCAATTATTGCATTCAAATAAACTAATTAAATTTCGTTTTTTTTTTTTAAATAAACGTGTAAAAACAATTTGAATTTTTAGAAAGATTACCCAAAATAATATTCTCTTTTTAAACATATAAAAAGGAAGTTTTTTTTTTCTATAAAGATTTAAATAAATTATACTTTGAATTTATAGTAATAATAATAATCAGTCACACATCATTCTTTTTGCACTTTGAACTAGAAAATGTAAGAGAGAAATAATCTCTACTTTATTTCTCAATCCCTCCTTTCAATAACAATTCCGCCTTTGTTTATCTTCACTATTTTTCCAAGCACATTCCTATAACAACCTAATGTTCTACTTTTGCAACTGTATATATATATACTTTAAACGAAAAAAATATTAAAAACAAAAAATGTGTATTTTTGGAAAATTTTTGAAAATTTCAATCGAACCCCCTTTTTTTAAAACAAAAAATTTTTTGATTTCTATAAAATTGCAAAATTTATTAGAAAAAAAGAAAATTTTTTTTTTTAATTTTCTCTTTGCAAAAAACGATAATTTTTTTTTAATGAATATTATTAAAGGGAAATTATAAAACTCCTAAAAGTGTTAAATAAATTATTATTTTATTCCATTTTTCCTGGAAAATGAAAAAATTCCTCACAAATTCAAATAAAATTAATCAGCATGTCTCTATTTTTTTTTACCATTTGTACATTTAAAAAACTTTCAAAAAAAACCTACCAATTGAACCTAAATTGCAGTAGACTAAGAATAATCAATTTTATTCGATTTTATTGAATAGAATGTTTTCCTGGAAAATGAAAAATTCCTTACAATTTCAAATAAAACTACTCAGCATGTCTCTATTATTATTTTACCTTTAAACAACACTGAAAACCTTCAAAAAAAACCTACCAATTGAACCTAAATTGCAGTAGACTAAAAATAATCAATTTTATTCCATTTTTTTGAATAGAATGTTTTCCTGGAAAATGAAAAAATTCCTTACAAATTCAAAAAAAATTAATCTGCATGTCTCTACTATTTTTTTACCTTTTGGACCTTTAAAATACCTTCGAAAAAACCTACCAATTGAACCTAAATTGCAGTAGACTAAGAATAATCAATTTTATTCAATGTTTTTGAATAGAATGTTTTCCTGGAAAATGAAAAAATCTCTTTCAAAGTCAAAAAAAATTTATCAGCATGTTTCTATTATTTTTTTTACCTTAAAGCAACATGTATTACCTTCAAAAAAACCTACCAATTGAATCTAAATTGCAGTAGACTAAGAATAATCAATTTTATTCCATTTTTTTGAATAGAATGTTTTCCTGGAAAATGAAAAAATTCCTTACAAATTCAAATAAAATCATTAAGCATGTCTCTAATTTTTTTTTACCTTAAAACAACACCTAAAACCTTCAAAAAACCTACCAATTGAACCTAAATTGCAGGAGACTAAGAATAATCAATTTTATTCCATTTTTTAGAATAGAATGTTTTCCTGGAAAATGAAAAAATTCCTTACAAATTCAAAATTAATTAATCTGCAGGTCCCTAGTATTTTTTTACCTTTTGGACCTTTAAAATACCTTCGAAAAAACCTACCAATTAAACCTAAATTGCAGTAGACTAAAAATAATCAATTTTATTCCATTTTTTAGAATAGAATGTTTTCCTGGAAAATGAAAAAATTCCTTACAAATTCAAAATTAATTAATCTGCAGGTCCCTAGTATTTTTTTACCTTTTTGACCTTTAAAATACCTTCGAAAAAACCTACCAATTGAACCTAAATTGCAGTAGACTAAGAATAATCAATTTTATTTCATTTTTTTGAATAGAATGTTTTCCTGGAAAATGAAAAAATTCCTTACAAATTCAAATAAAATTAAACAGCATATAACAAAGAGAAAATTAAAGAGAAAGTGTAAATTTTTTTTGTTGTTCGCGAAATAAATGATTCGATTAATGGGTCAAAAAAAAATTTGTAACATATATTTTTAAATTAATATTTATATGATAAATGATCCAATAATGAAAGATTTATAAAGTAAAACAAAATCTTACCTTGGACACCCTTGCCGAGTTTGCAAAAATACTGTCGCACTCAAAAAAAAACACTCACTCGCGGGTTTAAAAAATTTCGAGCACTCCCGAACCACGTGTTAACTTGTACGAATAAAAAAACTTTTTTTTTATTACTATTTACGATCACGGTTTTAAATATTATGAAAACTCCCGAAACACACAAAAAAAAATTATTTTACAAAATTTAGAAATTTATTAATTTTGCGAACACGTGGTATTTAGATTTAGGGAAATTTGACGAAAGGTAATTTTTGTTAAATTTATACCTGTATTTATGACCGACGCTACTATAATGATCTACCCCATAGTGAAAAATTGATGAACGCAATGAAATTTTATAATCACGTGATCCTACGAAAATTAGATGCGCTAGCATAATTTTGAATTTTCCACCAATCACGCGGCGACAAAATGACCGCGAGACGCCAATATACAATACTCTTATTTTAATCTCTCACTCATTTATTTTTTTCAAATATTATATTTAATTTTCTTTAAAATATTATTTTATATTTAACTTATATAAATAAATAAAAAAAATAATTTTTAAATAGTTTCTATTTTTAATCTCATAGATAAATTTAATATTGTAATAATAAAATTATTAAAACAAAAAATTTTATCCCCACCATTTTTAAATTTCAAAATTAAATAACAAAAACGAGAGACGCGCTTCTAATTTTCCCAAAGATTTCAAAATCAATTAAAAATTAAAAATCTTTAATGACGTATTTAAAAATTAAATATTTATTGACAATATAATTTGTAATATATTACACAATTTTTTTTTAAATAAAAATTTTTTTTATCAAAAAAAAAAAAAAAGAAGACATTTTTAATGCGCTATATGAGAAAAGAGGAGTTACAGTAATATTAATAGAGTTTTTTTTTTTCTAAATCTTTGTTCCTAAAATTTCTAATTTTTAACTGGGACGAGAAATAGTCTCCCACGTATGAAAAAATCATCCTTTGATGAATAATGGCAAAATGAATCTTGACCGAATATATATATATATATATGTTTTTAAGAGATAGAGAGAGGCAGAGGTCATAGGTACAAGGGTAGGTCGTTCCAATTACTAAGGATAGATAGATGAAACGAGGCTCTGTATCTGCGTGAATTTTGATCAAAGTGTATGTAAAAGGGGGGTCAGGTTGTATTTACGTTTAAACCCAGTGCGGATCGATGCAGGTGTGTAGGCGTAATTTCTAGTGTATATATAGGTGTGGCCGATTTTATTTACGCAGAAAAATCCTTCCACTTGTCTATTATATCATTTTTGTTGTAAAAAGCTTATATGTACACAGCTTCCTTTTTTTCTAATATTTTTCTTTTTTTTTTCATTCATTCCTTTGGGACATTAACTATATCTATCGATGGATCAACGATATATTATCACTCACTTGTCCATTATATTAATTTCTCGAGGGAAATTAAAGCTTCTCAAATAGTCCAAACAATATATATATATATATTTCATAAAAATATATATTGTTATAATAAACTATAAATTTTGTTTCACATATATTTTAAAATATAATTTATTTATTGAATTCAAAATTTTATGTAATAAGGAAATTAGCAAAAACAAATTCCATATGTAAATTAAATTCAATAATTAATTTTATATTTCATTATAATTATATTAAAATTATATTATATGATTATAATTGTAATATAATTAATGTTAATTAAACATACGTGTTAAAATTAATTTGTTCGTTTCGATATTGGGGAAAAATGAAATAATTTTCTTTTGCAGAAGAAAAACATAAGTTGACTAGTTAATTCGAAAATTTTTATTTGTCGATTTATTATTTTTTTTTTTAGATATATTTGTATATACATAATATGCTATGTAACGATCCTTATGTACGACCTTAAGTAATATATATATGTATAAACTGTATAGCTTAATGACTTTTCCGCGATTTTCATAAAAATGATAATTTTCAAAATTAAAATTCTTTCTCGAAAGCTATTAATTGTCTATATATATATATATTTTTTTTATTTATATAATTATATACAAACAAATTTCTATCTTTCATTGAGCTTTCATCAGTTTCGCCACGAAACGGTTTCACTTTTTCTTTTTTTTTTCTAATTAAAATTTCATTAAATTATTTAATTATACAAATTTTACACAACTTTTTTTTTAATTTTTTTGCAAGTTTGTATTTTTATAAATACCTTAAAAAGAAATTTCTGTTTTGTACAAATTGAGATAAAAAAAAAATCTTTGAATATGGGAATCCTTAATATGTATACATTGAGCTACCAATAAATTTATTATTGGTACTCACAAAATCGCGTTTACATCATTTGAATTTTTTATCATTTTTCATTAACTTTAATCTATTCACAATTATTTTCGTATTATAATTCAGTGAAACCTTCTCGCACTCTCATTCATACTTTCATAGTATAAAGTACGTAATTTGTTTTCCTATCGTCTATTTTGCAAACCAGATACAAAAAAAATAAATTTTTTATTTATTAAACAAATAGAATTAAAAAATGAGAAAATTACTATTAATTTTCTTAATAGGTGTTATTTCTTTTGTTCTTTATTTTTTAATTTCTTATAAAGAGGAGATTAAAATTTTATAATTTAAATTCATTTTTTGTTGATATTATTTTGAATAAAATGGAAATTTTGACACGATATTCTAAAAGATATTCGAATATTGAAAATTTGTTATTCTTTTTTCTAATATTTATAGGAGAATTATATTTATATTTAGAAAAATTTATCAAATTCGATTGTTGAAACACTCAATGTTTGATCATTTTGACGATAAGAAATATTTATAAAATTAAGTTTCCTATCTAAATTACTGCAAAAAAAAAAAAAAAAAAAATCCAATTATAGAACTCAAATAATTTTTTTGTGTGTCTTTGAAATTTTTGCAGTATCACATTTTTTCTTTGCGATTATTTTGTTATTCTAAAATATCATTCTTTCAAAATCTCTCTAATCTTAAATTTCCGAAAAAAAAGTTTCTATTATATATTTATTTAATATGTTTCAATTATTTACACTACACATTTCCATTGGCTATTTATTTTAATTGAATCAAGACTTAATATTAATAAAGAATTCAAAATTAATTTTTTCACATAAAAATTATGTACGTAAACTTCAATTCAACAATAATAATAATTGAATTAAATTATTCAATAGAATAAGAAAGTTTTTTTTTTTTGTATAATTAGAATAGATATTTAATTAAAAATTCTAAATAAATGTTTTTTCTTAATAAAAATTAGTTTTCCATAATGGAAGAAAAAAATTTAAAATAGAATATTTAGAATTTGTCACAAAGCAGTCTTGTTCTTTTTTTATACAATATTGTCAAAAGTAAAAATTTTTTGAAACTTTGATAAATAGATGATTATACTCATACATTAAGCCAATTATCAGTCTCTTAATTCGTTAAATTCCCCCTGAAAAAATGTAACAAATTTATTTGCAAACGAATATTATAAAAAAATCTGTTAATTTTGTTTTTTTTTATCGCAGTCTTTGCCGATATGTATTTTAAAAATTTCGATACGAAAATTTGTCGCTATTTTAACGAGAGAAATTGTTGACAAAAGCATTTTTGCTTCAATCAACACCTTCGTGTGAAGTAAACTTAACATTTTTTCAAAAAAAAGAAAAAAAAAAGGAAAATAAATTTCACTGAATTCATTGAGAAAAAATTTTTCAATATTGTGATTATAAGCAGCCTCATAGATTCTCATTATTCACAAGAAAAGATTCTATATAGAGAAATCTATTCTCGATTTTCTTTCTTTTTTTGGCAAGTTCTCAATGAATTCATTGTTCTAGTTCTTTTTTTTCGCTCATTTTAATTTTAAAAGGTATAAGGAATTTCAGTATCCTCCGGTTGATTTTCCAATGTACAGGGCCTCAAAAATTCTTGTCCTGACTCATGCAGCCATTTGTTCGCAACTGAAAATTAAGAAAAACAAAGTGTTCTATTACATTCTATTCTATTCTATCATAAAAAAAATTTTGAATTATTTTATTTAGCTTTTAAATTTTCGTTGATTTTTTTCAATGATTTCAAATATAAAAATTTACCCCATTTTGATCCCGTAAGTACAGGACAGGCGGCATGTCTCGTTAAAAAATCACCACCTCCATTTGGTTTGAGATTGTACCAAAATGCTGCACTTCCTTTTTTAGGCCATAATGAAAGATTTATTCTTGTAAAAACAGTTCCACCTCCTTGTTCAACATCACTCATCTACAAAAAAAAATTTATTTAATTATTTTTCAATACAGAAATAAATTAATGAAAAAATTTGACAAAAAAAAAAAAGAAATAATTTATACTTACATAATAGAGAACCGTGGCAATACGATTTCCAGTGCCAAGACTCTTGAAAGCGTTCGTTTCCTCTTTCTGCAATGTTACAATAATTTAAAAATAATAATAATTTTATAAAGTGAATTTTTTTTTTTTTGTTAAAATACTAACCCTTGCGAAATCAAAGTGTGGCTCATAATGACCGCCAATACCATAATTAACAACTTGAAGTTCTTCGGCAGTGTCAACAGTCAAACTTGTCATATATTCAACACGACGGCTCACATCTTTAACATGTTTGTGTTCATGTTCCTGAAGCCATGCACTCTTACTAATTCTATAGTGAGCAATTTCCAATTCACCAGTTTTATAATTTTGCACTGTAGCCCTCTTAAACTAAAAAGAAAAAAATATTTTTAATCCTCAGAATTTTTCATTTTTAAACAAATAGTTTTTTCCTCTCAATTGATATTTTAATCAAAATTTATAATATTTTATTTTTTAATAATTTTATTTTAAATTTGCAATAAATATAAAATTTAATTTTTATTAATTTATATTTGAATTTAATTTGAAATTTAATTTTCTTGACTTTTATAATATTTTCTCATTTTCATAATTGAATTAAATAGAAAATACATGGATCATGACTCTTTTTTTATAATTATAATATCTGAAATTCTATTCATTTTGAAATTAATTAAATGTCTCTTGACAAAAAAAAAAAAATAATAATAAAAAAATTTGACATATGACTGTCAACGTAAAAAATTAAAAAAGAGAAATGAAAGTTGAACGAACTCTTGGTTGTGCCAATCTTTTGATGGTCTCTATTTCCTCGTCATAAATTACATCGTGATATATCACAATTCTTGGGTTGAGATAAGCTTCTTCTTCTTTGAAGGGAGCTATTTTCAAGAATGGAATTCCTCGCTCGACATATCGACATTTCAATTGTTTTTGAATATCTGCGGGTAGTGAAATTTCACCTCGACATAGCATTTCGTATCTCTCTCTCTCGGTCATTTCCTTCAATGTCTTGATTTTCTTCTCCGTCACAGTAAAGGGCTGAAAAAAAAATATTTTTTTTTAATTAAAAGAAAACTAATTATTAAATAAAATTTTATTTTCTTTATTTCTTTTTACTTGATCTGTTAGGCCAATATCATCCTGACCATCTTCGCCTCGTTTTTTTTTAATTTGACTAGATTTTTTTTCAATTTCTTCTTGATAATATGCTCGATTTCCTAAAGCTCTTTGATGCGTTGGCACTAATTCCAAAAGTTCATTTGTCATACTCAGTGCTCTTGCAACGTTTCCTAAAAAAAAAAAAAAAACAGAAAGAAAAATTATAAAAAATGTATTATTATTAATTATTAGTAAAAAATTAAATATATTTCATCCCTTGTGAATATTTATAAAATGAAATAAATTATAAGGAAATAAATTGGAAATCTTGTCTTGTCAAATACAATTAGAGAAGTGAAAAAGACGGTATAAAATCATTAAATATTCATTGTATCAGATTTCAAATAGAGAAATTAATTTTGTAAAAGCGTGGCGCGCCGTTACTAGGGATCTTTTTGAATGATTTAATCGTTAATTTATTATTTATATAACTTAATACAACAACGATTTTATTCCTCTAGTTTACAAAGTATTTGTTAAAAATTCCTCTTTATCCAAATGGAAAAGCAGTAATAAGGAAATTAAAAAATATTTTCGATTACTCTATGATAAATTCTATGTACATTCATTTTTAATATTAAATTATCAAATTTAATAACCCCGTAAAAAAAAATTTCCTTTTTTTTTTAAATTATACAAAAAATTGTAGTTACTAAAATACTTATAAAAAAAAAATAAAAACTAAAATCTAATAATTAGATTTTTATGTCATGATTAAAATTTATTACTACTAAATATTAAAAATATTTTTTTATCTCATTAAAACTATATTCTAATGTTGATATGAAAATTTTTTGTAAATTTGTCACAAAAACAATTTTTGTTCTAAATTTGAAAAATTTGTGTTCTGCAAAATGAAATTGTTTTTTTTTTTTTTTTTTATTCTCTATAGATATACAAACCTTGCATATAAGTGGAGAATGCCAAGTATTCCAAGATATCTGGCTTGGAAGTTGTTGTTCTGTTTTGCTCCTCTTGGAGACGATCCATGGCCTCTTGCATCCAAAGTACAGTGTGATAATAGTCGCCATTATTGTAAGACTGTCTGCCAAGCTCAAAACAATCACCAGCTGAAAATATAAAATAAATTTTATTAAATGTTTCCCTGCAAATTCTCAACTTTTAACATACAATAAAGTAAATTTAATAAAAATTAAATTAAGTAAATTTAAAGTAATATTTAAAAAAAAACGAAAAAAAAGAGAAATTATAAACCAAAGAAAAATTTATCTAATTTTGACTATCAAATAAATATTTATTTATATAAAAAATAATTTATTTAATTCCTGTATTTCTGTATTTTTTTTTTCAACTATATTCACTTAACGAAAATAATGATATTATAAAATTTTTTTTTCCTGGAAATAACTAATAGAATTTGTGACAAAAAAAAAAAGCGTGAAAATTAAATTTTCATTTCAACTTTATTCATATAGCCTTAGGGGAGGGAAAAAAAAAAATTCTTTTTTCCACCTTCACTTGAAATTCCAAAAGAAACTTATTCTTATAAATCCAGACGACAGATTGTCTTCTTGGGACGATCGAGACTGATTTCCCACGCGTCCTCCGATCACTATTAATTTTCCAACGATGAAAACAGAACTTTTATCCTCTTCCCCCATTTCATGTTCAACGTAAAGTTTTGCACAAAATTGAAGGCTCGGATATATGAGATATATGAGATATTAAGTACATCGATCCTAAAGAAATTTGTCCCCCGAGTTTAAGTTCAGTGCGGTGTCTTTAAAATGCGTCAAAAAAAAAGAGAAATAGATAGTTACGAAATTATATTTCAATTTTTTCTTTAGAAAATTCAAAAAAATTTGACAAGAAAATTAAAACAAAAGTGTAATTAAATTTTTTTAAAAATGATTTCTATGATACTTGTATGAAAAATATGAGTTTACGAGTATTTATGAGTTTTGATGAATTACTAATTTTACTAATGTATGAGTTTTATTTGAAAAAATATTTCAATAAAATATTTATGACTTTTTATGAGTTATTATTATTTATTATAAGCTATTGAGAGTTATTGTTAACTATTATGAGTTACTATGATTATTTATGAGTTATTGAGAGTTAAAATGAGTTATTAAAGGTACTATAAATTATTATAAGGTACTAAGAGTTACTACGAGTTATTAATATTTATTATGAGTTATAAATAGTTAAAATGCGTTATTATGAGGTATTAAGTGTTACTTTGAGTTATTATAAGTTACTATGAGTTACTATGAGTTTTTATGAGTTATTACTATAAGCTATTGAGAGTTATTGTGAGCTATTATGAGTTACTATGATTTATTATGAGTTATTAAAGATACTATAAATTACTATTAGGTACTATAAATTATTATAAGGTACTAAGAGTTACTGCGAATTATTAATATTTTTTATGAGTTATAAATAGTTAAAATGAGTTATTATGAGGTATTAAGAGTTACTATGAGTTACTATGAGTTTTTATGAGTTATTATTATAAGGTATTGAGAGTTATTGTGAGCTATTATGAGTTACTATGATTTATTATGAGTTATTGAGAGTTAAAATAAGTTATTAAAGGCACTATAAATTATTATAAGGTACTAAGAGTTACTGCGAATTATTAATATTATTTATGAGTTATTGAGAGTTAAAATGAGTTATTAAAGGTACTATAAATTATTATAAGGTACTAAGAGTTACTACGAGTTATTAATATTTATTATGAGTTATAAATAGTTAAAATGCGTTATTATGAGGTATTAAGTGTTACTTTGAGTTATAAAGCGTTACTATGAGTTACTATGAGTTTTTATGAGTTATTATTATAAGCTATTGAGAGTTATTGTGAACTATTATGAGTTACTATGATTTATTATGAGTTATTGAGAGTTAAAATGAGTTATTAAAGGTACTATAAATTATTGTAAGGTACTTAGAGTTACTGCGAATTATTAATATTTATTATGAGTTATAAATAGTTAAAATTAGTTATTATGAGGTATTAAGAGTTACTATGAGTTATTATAAGTTACTATAAATTATTGTAAGGTACTAAGAGTTACTGTGAGTTATTAATATTTATTATGAGTGATTATGAGTTATAAAGAGTTACTATGAGTTTTTATGAGTTTCATGAGTTTTTTTTTAAAAAAGATTTTATGAGTTTTTATGCTATGAAATAATAAAATATGCGTAAAGAACTTATAATTGAAAAATCGTTCATGTTTTTAGGGAAACAAGTTTTTAATTAATTTAAGGAAGCCACTCCGAAAACACTCGAGTCACGTGTTTATATATATATATATATATATATAGAGAGAGTTAATTTTCTATGAAAAGCGTGCGACGGGTGTTGATAAATGGTGAAAGGAAAATCGGTAATAATAAATTACTTTAAATGCAATATCTAGTTTCAGAGGCTGACATCGGAAAAAGCATAACTTCCTGATTGGAGGATCGATTTACGCCTATGGGAAGGTTTCACGTCGGTTTCTTGCCAACACATACAAGTTGGCTTGTTCGTTAATTAACTGCTTTACTTCTCTTCACTTGGCAACTATAGATTCACAAGCACACTTTCATATAATTTTACCCTCTAACCCCTCCCCCCCCCTTCCCCTCATTCCCCCCTTTCACTCTTCAATTAACTCGACTCGACATTAGACAGCTTGTCGTTAATCAAACACTTTAAATTTTCAATTTAAAAAACAATTATAGATTTTTACTTCCAATTTGACTTCAATTTCCAATGAGAGAATATATAGACACATATATAATTTGTTTTTTTTTTGTTTCATATTATTTCTATTGAGAAATAATTGCTTTTATTTGATTTCAAAAAAAAAAAAAAAAATAGATTTTAAAAATGAAATAATTTAATTTAATTGGAAAATAAAATTAATTTAGAATTTTTTATTTTCTTTTGTTTTGAAAATAAATTTTCTTTGTAAGATCTATTTTTACACATTGTGTATTTGTATTTTTTTTTTTTTGTATTTTAATTTTTCACTGAGAAAATATAATCCATCAATATATAGACATAATTGATAAAGCGTAAATTTTTATTTAAAAATTGTGAAATTTATATTAAATTTTCATCTGTTCAATAGTTTTGCCGATGTAAAAATATCAATATAAATGAAATAATTCATAAAGTAAAATTTTTATTAACAGTGAATTATTTTTTTTTTTTTTTAATGAAAAAATAACACACTGAAAAAAAAAATTTATTTGATTCAAATACCGGTGTATTTGGTTATTATCAAATAAATATTTACTTGAATCAAATATTTTTTATTTGAATCAAATAAATGGTATTTGTTTTAAATAAAATAAAATTTTATTCTAAGAACAAATATTAGTAAATTATAATTTTCTGTCTGTCTAAAACTTATTAATTTATGTCTGATTAAATATTTACTTTAACACAAATATTGAACAATTTTAAATTTTACTGCCTGAACAAAAACTTACTTTTACTACTGATAAAAAAAAAATTCCTTTACCTTTGTCTGACTAAAATTTACTTTGACAACTTATAATAAATTTAGTCTCTTCATGTTTTGACTAAAAATTACTTTTACTATACTGATAATAAAATTAGTTGTTTTTTTTGTCTGACAAAAATTTACTTTTACTACTGATAATAAAATTAATCAATTTTTAATAGAGTTACAATCACAAATTTAATAAATAAATTTTTTTTAATATACTTATAAATATTAAAATTAAAAAAAAATTCCTAAATAAAAAATAAAATTTTTAAATTAAAAATTTCTTTTTTTTCTATAAAAAGGAAATAAGTATTTTTTTTTTTTTTAAATTTATTAAGAAAAAGAAGAAATTTTTTTTGCTTTCTTTTAAGGAGAATTTTTTTTTTTTTTTTGAAATTTTTTATATCGCGTAAAAATGAGGGTAATTTAATGTTTCATTTTGATGGTTAAAAACAATTTACCTGATAATCCAGTACTATATTGAACCCCATTGAGAACGCCCTTTGCAACTTGAGCTGTTTCTAGCTTGTAAGTGTCTTGTAACCTCATTAAAGCAACTGCAGCACCATTAAGATCCTCGTCTGTCGGAAATTTCAAGTCGCTTCGTGAACTTGTAATGTTTGCAACAAAAGCATTTCCAACATCTTCTGTTAATAATTCCTCCACTCTTTTCCAATCAGTGGTTAATCTTTTTACCAATAAATATGCATTTATTGGATTTGACAGATATTGTTGAATATTGCGTGATGCATCTTCATGTTCCCTCGAATAATCATCAACGTTTCTGTAAAAAAAAAAATTAAAAATTAAAAATTAAATAAAAATAATAATAATTAAATGTTACATCAAATTTTTTTTTTAAAAAAGTATTAATAAAATTAAAAAAAAAACAAATTAATTTTTACTAAAATTGAGAATGTAAAAACAGATTTTTTTTTTGCACAAATTATTTGTGGAATTCACGAAAAAGGAAAAATGTACATAAGACTTTGTTCCGCAAGATTTTTGTGGTTGCATTTCCAGGAGAGGAAAATATTTTAGTTACATATAATACAGAAATAATATTATTTTATTCTTTTTTTTAAATAATTCCCCCCCCCTCAACTATTTTCATAAAAAGAAGAAAATTATATTTTTTCTTAAAAACAAAAAAAATTATACAATATGAATATCATATATCATCCAAATATTGATATTCATTGGCAATTTTTTTTTTAAATTAAAATTTTAATTAATTTTTCTTTTCTTATCGAAAAATTTAATATAAAAGAAGAAAAAAAAACATGTAAACTACCTGTCTATGAAAAGTAGTCAAAGGAGGTGTTTAAAAAAAAAAAAAAAAAAAAAAAAAAATTGAAAATAAAGTAAAATGCACGGAAGTAATTGAGAGAAAAAAATTCTATTTAAAAATATATTCTCTTCTCTATGTCAGGAAGTTTTTATTAAATTACTATTTTGTCGATTTTCTATAATCAAATGAAATAAATAATTAACAATGTCAGATTGGAGAAACATGATCTAAAAATATTATTTTCAATATATATATATATACATATATATATATATAAACAAATGAAGTTAGTTGATTGGCAAAATTTGATCTGTTTATTATGCAAGAGAGACGAAATATTCTCGAATCACAGAATAGACATTATTGGATATTAAATAATAATAATATTTAATAATAATAATAATAATTTAATAATGATAATAACAATAATAATAATTATTCTCTAATTATGTAAAAACCAATTGTCATCTGTTTCATTATAAGAGAATTTTTATTGATTTTTCTTCTTCTTTAATTTTAATAAAAAAAAATTATTATTTTCATCGATAAAAAGGAAGAAACAAATTAAAAAAAAAAAAAACGACAATTGACGAAAAACTGTATTTTTTTTTACTAAATGAGCTTTTTTTCATACAACTCCCTCATTTTCTCGATGAAAGTTATTGCGTCATGTTTCACGGGGAAAAAAGGAGAATTGAAAATGCAACCATGTAAAGTGTTTAATGAGTCTGTAAAAGAATAAAATCAGTAATATAAAGGTATATCGTTATAATCGAAATTTTTTCCGTTAAAAAACATTTTTTTTTTTTTTGTAAATAAAAGTGTATTATATTTTTGTTTTAAAAATATTTTATCACTTGAATATTGTGATTATTTAAAAAAAAAGTCGTGTCTGATTAAAATGTACTTTTACTACTGATAATTATTGTTTAATTCTCCTGTTTATTTAGAATTATTCTAATTAAAATAAAGAGGATTGTATATTATAGTGTTAATAAAATTAGGAGTAATTTTTTCATTTTTCCAAAAATTTTTTTTAACTTATCATTTTATTAAAAATCAAAAACTAAAACTATGAATTGATCAATTTAGTGACAAAAAGTGAATTATAAAATATTCAAAAAAAAAAATTCTACGATTCAATATTTTTTTTTTTTTTTTTGTATACCTATATGCAAATTTTACATTCACTATACATCGGTTAGTTGAGTTTTGCAAATAAAAAGAAAAAAGAAAAAGAAAAAGCATTCCACTCACGTTTTATTGTAACACATTCTCATGAAATTCATGAACAATTGATACAAATGATTTTCTATTTTATTCAATTTCTTTTTTTTTTAGTACAAGAAATTTTTACCTCACTTTTTAAATACTAAAAATAATTAAAACACTTTTAATTTACAAAAGAATTTTATTTTTTTTTAAATTTGTCTAATTATTAAAAATTATAGAAAACATTTTATTTTATCGTAAGAATTAATTTTTATTATTTTTTCTCCATTATTTCTTTCATTTCATCCAACTTTCTTTTACCACCACACACCCCCCCCCCTCCATTTGAAAAGAGACTGAGCGGATTTCGCAAATGGATTCTCTTTCCGCCTCGTTTCGATGCGAACCGGCAAGCATAAAAATGAAAACGAAAAGAAATGCTGCGACCGAAGCTCAGTTGGATATTTTCGAAATTCAATGTCCTATGTATAACCATCTCCATTTTCTTTATGTATATATTGTTTTAAAATTAAATTGCTATTTTCCTGCATTGACTATATTCAAAATAAAATGAATTTTCAAAAACTCGACTTTATTAATATAGAAAAAATAAATTTTTTATCCACTTTCATATACTTCATTTCTCAGATATGCGGACCAAAGTTATATAGAGATTATGTTTCGTATCTCCAATTATTTCCCCAGAGAAACCAAATTCTATATATATATATATATATATGTGGGGTGAAGACAAAATTGTGAAAATTTAATTAAGGTTTCGGATCAACGAATGCACAACAGATAAAAAAAAAATTCTGAATACAATTAAATATTTTCATTTATAAATTACGTTATTATTGATTCATTAATTTTATATTTTATTAATTTTTAAATACATTAATTAACTAATTAATACATTAATTAATACTTTTACTATATTTATAGTAAAATTAATCTCTTTTGTCTGACAAAAACTTACTTTCACTACTATTGATAAAAAATTACTTTTCTTTTGTCTGACTAATAATTATTTTTACTACTTTTACTGAAATAAGTCCCTTCTGTCTGACTTAAAGTTAGTTTTACTACTGATAAAAATTCCTTTTCTTTTGTCTGGCTAAAAATTACTTTTACTACTGAAAAAATAAAATTAGTTTGTTTTAGTCTGACTAAAATTTATTTTTTACTACTGAAAAAAAAACTTATTTTCTTTTTGTCAGACTAACATTTATTTTTACTGAAATACTAAAATTGGTCTCTTCTGTCTGACTAAAATTTACTTTTACTACTGATAATAAAATTCCTTTTCTTTTGTCGGACTAAAATTTATTTTTACTACTTATACTGAAATTAGTCTCATTTATCTGATTGAAAGTTACTTTTACTACTGATAAAAATTCCTTCGCTTTTGTCTGACTAAAATTTACTTTTACTACTGATAATAAAATTAATTTTTTTTGTCGGACTAAAATTTATTTTTACTATCTATACTGAAATTGGTCTCTTTTGTCTGACTAAAAGTTACCTTTACTACTGATAATAAAATTCCTTTGCTTCTGTCTGGCTGAAAATTAATTTTACTACTAAAAAATAAAAAAAAGTTTGTTTTTGTCTGACTAAAATTTACTTTTACTACTGATAATAAAATTAATTTCATTTTGTCGTACTAAAATTTATTTTTTTACTACTTATACTAAAATTAGTCTCTTTTGATATTTAGAAATATATTTCAAATTTGGTAATTGTTGTTTTTAGTTGAAGAGAGGCACAATTAATTAAAGTCGTTTAAAGTTGATACGAATGCTAATGTGAAATGCAAAATGTCGTAAATTTGTATGTATCTCATAGTAGTTTGTACAAATCAAGTGTTTCGTTAATGACCATATATATATATATATATATATATATATATATATATATATATATATATATATATATATATATATATATTTATATATGATGCGTATTTTTTCTCGCACATTTTCTTAAACGATACAGCAGGGTGTCGCGCGTCCATTATTTTAATTACTTCCATCAACGAAACGATCCAGTCGAGAGAAACTCTTGGTAAACTCAAGAGAGACATTATTATTATACACAGTAGTAGTGAACGAAAAGGGCGAGTTTTACCACAGCAATACTCAACTGTGAATTTTAAACATACATATAAAAAAGGGCTCGAGTCACGAAAATCGTTTCAAAATATTATTTTAATTAGAATTTCTCAAAATGTTGTTTAATTTTACTGTATTTATTGATATAAATGAGGTATAAAAAAATTTATAAAATCTAATATATACCTTTACTACTGATAGTAAAATTCCTCTGTCTTTGTCTGAGTAAAATTTACTTTTACTACTGAATGAAATTTAGATATTTTGAAACTGTTGTCTGACTAAAATTGACCTCAACTACTGATAATAAAATAAATTTCGTCAGTCCAATATTAATTTTTACTACTGATACAAAAATTAGAAACTTTAAACTATTGTCTGACTATAATTTACTTTTACTACTGATAATTAAATAAGTTTTTGTCTGACTAAAATTTACTTTTACTACTGACACAAATTTAGATGATTTTTAAATGTTGTCTGACTAAAATTCATTAGTACTACTGTTACTAAAACAAATTCTTTCTGTCTGACCGAAGTTTACTTTTACTACTGAGAATTAAATGAGTTTTTGTCTGACTATAATTTACTTTTACTACTGATAATTAAATAAGTTTTTGTCTGACTAAAATTTACTTTTACTACTGAAATAAATTTAGATGATTTTAAATTGTTGTCTGACTAAAATTTACTTTTACTACTGAACGAAATTTAGATGTTTTGAAACTGTTGTCTGACTAAAATTTACTTTTACTACTGAACGAAATTTAGATGTTTTGAAACTGTTGTCTGCCTAAATTTGACCTCAACTACTGATAATAAAATAAATTTTGTCAGTCCAATATTAATTTTTACTACTGATACAAAAATTAGAAACTTTAAACTATTGTCTGACTAAAATTTATTTTCACTACTGTTACTATAAAACAAGTTCTTTCTATATGACCGAAATTTACTTTTACTACTGAGAATTAAAAAAGTTTTTGTCTGACTATAATTTACTTTTACTACTGAGAATTAAATACGTATTGTCTGACTAAAATTTACTTTTACTACTGATACAAATTTAGATGATTTTTAAATGTTGTCTGACTAAAATTCATTAGTACTACTGTTACTAAAACAAGTTCTTTCTGTATGACCGAAATTTACTTTTACTACTGAGAA